TCTCAAAACAATTTTCGTAAAGTGACGACATATATTGATAAATTTTCAGAGTAATACTTATTAATAAGCGAGAAACGAAACATAAACTAAGCTTTTGCTGTCTGACTCTCTCTTTATTTATTTTTGTTTTATCCACTTTTCTTTTAATTTAGGTTCCTTGTTCGTCTTTTATTTCTAAAAAAAAATATTCCTCTCAGAAGCTTTAAAACTGTGTGTCGAAACTATTTTCTTATAGCAGTGCTAAATTTCTTACATATATCATATATGTATATATAAGATTGGAAAATGAAAATTTGGAAGTAGTATTATAATGTGTATATATATATATTACTTGTGGGGGTCAATATTATTTTGTTCAAAAAAGATTGAAATCAAATTATTAAGACGTGGGACTACATTTCTTGTAAAAAAAAGAATTAAATTATTCATGTCTCCTATAATAATTGTACTTCCCTCTCTCAAAAGAAGAGCATGCTTTTCCATCTTTTTGTTTTCTATTAAACGTCCCATATAAGCCATAATAATTTGCTCAAAAAAATAAATAAAAATAAGCCATAATAATTACACATACATTTTCTTCTTCCTTGCGAGCAGCAGCTCCATATTCTTTGTTCGTTTGATACTTTAATTTCATTAACAATATTCTATGCGCCAAAGCATTTATACACTCAAAAACAAAATACCGGAAAATATGGAATATGAACCTTTCTTTATCCCCAAAATATATTTATTATCGTACAGTTATCACCATTAAACTTGTATATCCCCAAGTTATTTTTCTATATTATCTACTCTCCAGATGTGTCTGTTTAAATGATGGTTACTTTTTATGCATAAACATCAAACACAATCAATAAGCGAACACAATTACTAAACTCGTGTTAGGGAATAAACCCGGACCACATAATTCCTTATTAGTTTTATACGTCCTCTGTGTTTAAGATATGTACATTATTATGCACATATATGAAAAGTTAGTTTATTTTTTATTTAAAAATATCATTTCTTATCTACCACCATATAATAAAATATACATTTAACATCATATAATTCGAAACATATTTTCCCTCTAAAACATTATTTATTATAAAACAGAAAAGTACTCCTTCAATTCCACATTAAGTGTTATTTTAGAAAATTTTGTTTCATTAATTATAAGTGTTATTTGATATTTTCGATACAGATTTTCAATAATTTTTCTAGTTTTATTTCTACTCCCATAAATTATGAAATAGTGAAATTACTTTATATTAATAAGAAATAAAACAGAGAATTTCATTATTTTCTTAATATGTGTAAAACAAATTTAAATATATTTATAATGAATTGGATGTAGTATATGATTAGTTATATTCTATTTTAATTATTTTTATACCTAAGAATGCTCCCAATGAAGGTTAATACTATGCTTTAGGGAATTAGGGTAATACACACCCATCGGATCCGAATCTATGGGCGTACTTAAAAGAATCCACGTATATTAAACTAGTAATAAAAATGAGAGTTTAACATATCGCAATAGATTAATCAAAAGAGTGGGATTTGGTTGGAATATTTGTCAGAACATTTGTTTGCTTTGGAAGCTTTTAATATATAATTGTTCCCTTCTATATTCTTTTTTTTAATTTTGTTCCCTTCTATATTCAATCATAAATCGGAGAGGATTATTAACACAATATTAGTGGATTCATAAAATAACTATAATTTGTATCACTACTGATAAAATAAAATAAAAAGAATAATAATGTGGATTCAGGACGTAACGTAAGTGATTGGAATAGACCAAAAAAAAAAAAAAACGTAAGTGATTGGAAATGATGGAATTATCATTTGTCCTTGACGTGTACCTCTGAGTGGAAGCTGACGCTGAGAAATGGACCCCTTGTTGTCAATTATTTATCAAATATTTCCAACAAATCATTATTTTATTACATATTTATTCATACGTATAGTACGAAATTTCATTAAACGACAAGAATAAACATAACAAATATTCCTCAGAAATTCTTTCATAGCCAGGAGACCTCGAGAAGATGAATGGTTTTTTGTCAATATAGATTTGTTTTATAACGGGATATCTCGAACTATATAAGTCCATAACTTGAATGAACTCGGTAAAAACTTGTATACTTTTTTTCATTTGAAACATCCGTAATAACAAATGACACAAATTTTTGGCAATATATAGAACAAAAATACAGTACTAGAGTTAGAGGAAGGATCTACCATTAAAAAAAAACCTAGTAAAGAATACAAAGAGTAGCTTGGAGATTTTCTCAAGCAATGATCAAACAAAAAGGCTGGAGATTGATCGATCACATGGTTATTTGAGGGAAAGAGAGTAAACAGTTGCAAATAGCCTAAAAAAAATACGGAAAAAACAGTTTGATAAGAATATAAGTTCGAGTATGAACAATAGTTAAAATTTATCTTGACAATATTTTGTCAACTCTGTAGTGTTTTTAGAGAGATTTTATTAGTTGTTTGAATACTGATGTATATAGTTGTTTTCAATTTTTTAGCCGAAAATATATTATTCTCTGATGTATTAAAACCGATTTGTGTAAAAGTTTGAACGCTAGCTTTTCAACAAGTGAAACAAACTTATCGAAAATACGAACATCATAAAAGAGTGAGTTGTGTTGTTTTCAATTGTACTAATCGTTTTCTCAATGTGTTTGACTAAACAGGAAAAAGCAAATGATAGGAACTTGACCAAATAAACTTTGATCCAAATAGACTGTGGGGGACCCTTTTGAATATCTCATATCTCTATATATTTTTCAAGTTCTATCTTCGGCATTGATGAGATAATTGAGGCCTCAGGGATATGGTTTGGTATGTTGTTTCCAGCTTTTTCATTGAGGTTTTCCACTTTTACTTTTTTTATAGGGGATATTTGTTTTTCTGTTCCTCTAGTATTTACATTTAAACAATTTTAAAACGTAAAATTTTGGTATGTTCTTGTTAGAATGATGATTTGGCTGCCTAGTGGAATTTTTTTAAATCATTTAATCGATGGTCACTTGTTAAAGCATAGTACATATTATGGTGGTGGGTGGGCTACCGTCTGTTTCTTCATTAATAAAGAAATTTATTATATTTTCCTTTTTTAAAAAAAAATATATGATTCCAAGTGTTTTATGGTAAATAGAAACATCATGAACATTAATGAAATGATTTTTAAAAACGTTTTCATGAACTTCAATCATATAATAGTTGAGAAGATAAATTGAATCTTACGGCGTGTATGTGTGTGTGATTCTTGTAACCCTTGATTTCCACTGAAATGAAAATGAACATGTTCGAGCTGCAATAATGTTGGTTATCAAACATATACAACAAATCGAGGTAATTACCTGTATAAGTAAAAATAAAACACGTATTTTTTAGTTGTTTTACGTAACGGTTCACTTTGTTTGTTTTGCGTTAACGGTTCTAACGTTTGCGGCTATCACTTCACGTTTGCATCGCCAACCTAATTTTTAGCGGCTTTAAAGGAACCGTTTTCTGTCAGTCTTGTCCATATCTTATTTCCTTTAAATGGCTCTTACCCAATTAAACCATCTCTCTTCTCAGATGATCCTTTTGTTAATTTATCTTTTATGCCATCAATCATTGGGTTTGTAATTTATTTTCTTTCTTGGTTACAAAAATCATCAATTTCAAGCCTCATGTATCATGTTTCGAATTATATAAATCAAGTAGATGTTTATCTTAAGCTGCTTTAGTGTTTACACTAGTCACTAGAGCATAGCATAACTACTAAGAAGATATTCTCATAAAGTCATGCAATATTTTATTCGAGGGTACTTGAGTGGATTCGACACAATGTAAATGGTTGTTAATTATCTAAAACAGTGTTTAAGTGTTACATTAAAGCATTACTTGTATTAAATTCCTTTGTTTATCTTCAATGTATGATTGAATCGAAGATATTTTTCGAAATCATCCACTGATTAAGCTTAAAGCTAAAACTAGTAAGGAAGTACTAATTAAGAAATACACCACCTTAATTTGGGTCCCAACTGATCACCTAACTAACCAACGCAAACTCGTAATTACACGTCTCGCTCTATGAATACACATAACCTTATCTATACGCATCAAATTAGTATCTTGGCATACTCTTTTTTCTTACATGGATGTTTGTTATTGGTTAATTGTTACGAATTTATAAATATAATTGTTGATGTCAATTTTTTATTTATTAATTATGGATCTGAATCAAAAATAAAAGAATATGAATTATAGAAAAAGAAATATATATATATATATATATATATATAACATTTGAGTTATTTTAGGCATTGTAAGTGAATTAGAAACTTTAAATATAGCTGGTTGTAGAAATTGTAAATGACTTTCAATTTCTCCTAACTTTTTTAGATACGTACTCGATTAAGTGTGTTAGCTGATACATCATAGATTAATTTCCTTTTATAGCAAAACTTATTTGGCCTTAAATGTATATGGAATTCATAAAAAAATGTGTTAATATACTTTTGGTTACAGGTTCAAAGCAATTAATCCGTTTGGAAACATCACTCAGTTACTTTAGCAAACCGTACAAAAAAAAATTACTCACGTCACGACTACACATAATAATCATTTATAACGATAATTGATAAAAAAAAAATATACTGAATTGAATTCGTTGCTCTTCTAACTCACTAATTACAAAATACACAGAAATAATAATAAAAACGAACCAAAAAGAATCTCATACGCAAAATAATAAAGTTGATTAATTATACGTCACACACAATCCACAACGTTAATTCGATTGCTCTCTTCTATAAATCCCTTCGTCACACTTCTCCTCTGCTCACCAAAACATTTTCTATCTTAAAGAAAACAAACAAACAAAACCTCAGCAGCACCAAAAATTTTTCTGTTTTCTCTCTCTCTCTCTCTCTCTCTCTCTCTCTCTCTCTCTCTCTCTCTCTCTCTCTCTCTCTCTCTCTCTCTCTCTCTTTCTTGCTCCCAGTTTCAACAAAATGGAAGGACGGCAATATTACTCTCCGAGAGAAAACGTCGACGGAAACAGAACCACCATGGGAGGACCTCACTCGCCGTGGCATTCACCGGTTCCTTATCTCTTTGGTGGTTTAGCGGCGATGCTCGGTCTCATTGCTTTTGCTCTTCTAATCCTCGCTTGCTCTTACTGGCGTCTCTCCGGTTATCTCGACGGCGAGGAAAACCAGAGCAGAGAGAGAGATCTCGAGGCCGGAGATGGGAAACCCCAAAAAGCGATGAAGCCCGTAATCTTGCCGGAGAAGTTCTTGGTGATTATGGCCGGAGATGTAAAACCTACTCACTTGGCGACGCCGGCAGAAAAAACCTGTACTTGTGACGATGACGAAGATGATAATCACTTGGAGGGTAGTGATCAGGTGGCGCAGCGGAGTACTGAAAGTAACGGTGCGACACACTGAGACAACAGAGGATGTGAAGAGAGAAAACAGAGGATCGTCTATTGTGAACAGTGTTTCAGAGCTGTTTACACCTGACCCGGTTGCGTCGGGTCGAGTCAGAGCTATACATGATGAGCCTTAAATATGGTCCGACTCTTATAATTGTTCTTTTAAAAAAAAAAACGAAAACGAAAAAGGAATTAGGTTGGATTATTAAGAGGTGTTCTGATAAACGATGTTATTTAATCTCAGTTTTTGCATCATTAATTCACCAGTTTTGTTCCATTTCTGGGACATGATGGAAAATTCCGGGAAACTATGTAAATTTCTGAGAAGTTGAATGGAAAAATTAAATTGTTAATATATTTGTGATTTTTTTTGGAATGGAGAAAAAAAATTGTGACTATATATGATCAAATTTGTGCTGTTATGGTCAGGTCCAGTTCATGTTTTTCGTGGGATTAATGTGACAAGTGGTTCGAAGAAAAAAAAAAGAAAAAAACAAATTGCAGAGGAAAGAGTCTTCAGGTTAGAAATTGAAGGCACGTGCAGAAGATAGTCTGATTTTATTTTTCTTAGGTGTTTCTCTGATGCGGCGAGGTGAAGCAGTTAGCTTCAATCAATTAGCTAGCATTAGCGTGTAATTAATTTCCTTTTACCATAATTGATTAATTTTCTATAAAGTATATTGCAAGGAATATTTCTAAATTTTGAGAAAGACGTTAACGTCCCTAGGTTTCGTTTTTCCTAATGCCATCTTAGCCCTAGCTATAGGTTTCTCTACTTTGCGATTACTTTGAAGATATGCCTTCTTTAAGTACACATTCATTTGCATTTTCAAATCATGCTATTGAAATGGATTTTATCAACTATAATAGTGAATGATCATTTACGTTCGTGAATTTTTTTTTCTTTTTAATGAATAACCGTCAAAAATCTGTTGACAAATCATGTTGTTTAAATGGATTACCTACTATCATGCTTTTGTTTGTCAAGAGGTTCATAGTTAATTAATTAGTTGTTCCCTTGTTGGGTTGTTGGGTCGTGTAACAAAGGTAAGCTACTATTGGGCTTTAATCGGGCTCATTGTAGCTATATTTACTTTGTTCACTCACGCAAATTTTGGGCCAACATTGATCTAACCGTTAACTAATTAGAATTACTCATCCCTTTAGCCGGAAACGAACTTAGAAGTGATAAAAACAATCATGGGAATCTCTGGTTCGGTACAAGACTTCAATTATTATTTTATTTTTTTTAGCCAAATTTGTTTTCATTAAAATCAAAATGGGTTTGTGCTACAATGGGCTAAAGCCTGTTTTGCTAACATATGAGACTTAACATCTGGTGAAACGGAAATTAATGCTTTCCAACTTTGTGGTTATAAATCGGATGTCGCTGACGATGCCGTAGAGCTCTGAGAACTCCATCACCGTAGAGCTCTAAGAACTCCATCGCCGTAGTGAGAGTCTTAATCATCTGCATGGAGTCAGATTCGAGCTTGAGCTTGTTGAAGCCACGCTTCAATTATCTCTTCATGTTTCAAATTTCAGTGTTGTCCGAATTTAAGACCCCGAGTTTGAGAGATCAAATAAATGCACGTGTGTGAGGTGTACGGAGGTTAGTGTTGTGTAGTATAAGACAAACAAAGCCAAGTGATCTTGGGTGCATAATTGCACATGTAATTATTTGATTCAACGTCTTGTTTGTTGATAGTACCTTTTGGTCCATTTCTATTATTACCCTTCAATTCAATTTTATTATAATAAATTATTAAATATTGTGTACTTAATGTCTTCTCAAAGTCTCATTCATTGTAAAAGGTTAAATGTATACCTTCCTTCTTTTGGATTGCCATCCATCATGGCTCACAATTCTCCCAACCAACTCTTTGAATACAATTTTTCATTTCATTATTAATTTACTAACTATTTTATTTCAGATCATCGACCCTAAACTACCATTTAATCATTATTTATATGATTGTTAAACAAGATTAGCAGTTATAATAAGAAAACAGAGGCGCCAAAGAGGAGCAATGGCTTTGAGAGGAAGACAAAATCAAGAACGTAAGGTGAGACCACTTAGAAACAACAACACGACACATCCTTTTGCCCCTTTGGCCTTTGCTTTCACCACAAATCATCCAACCACATTCACTACAAATCCCATCATTGCCTCTGATTATCCCCAATTTTTTTTATATATATAATATGTTATAAACAATATGCTTGTTTAGCCTTAGACTAGCACTAGATTTCCAGCAACAGTTTTTGTGTGCGTATGTTTTAGTGATATACTCAACGAAATTTCGATCGCTAGGTTTAGTTGCTAATCGACCAAAACCTTTTTTTAAAGTTCATAAAGTTATATATAATTATTTTGTGAGTAACCCAATTAATTACAATGTATTTTAAAGACGAACATTTTGTTGATTATATCCCTTGTTCTAACCGTTTATAATGTTGATTTCATACATTATAATATTCCAGCTTCAAAAAAAAGGTTCTAAAAAACCAATTATTATAGTAAACACGTTCAAGGCTTTAAACTATGCACTAATAAAAGACAAGCATACCATCTATACCAACTTCGAATTATGAATCTAAATCAGGGTTTAGAAAATGAATTACTAAAAGAATGTATTTCTAGCTCTTATTATACTTTTAACTTTCGATGCTTGAGTCATTATGCTAAAAAATATTATATAGATTACTTGATTATAATATCATTGGGTTATTCCGGTTTATGCTTCTTCGTCAAGACTCATATACACAGCTAATGATTATCTCATGCAGTGATCACCTTTTCCACACTCTTTATTAATCTCGAAACGTCTCTCTTCTTCTTACTCTATCTCCTGAAAACAAAACAAAAACACTTATCTTCTTCTTCAAGTGTATTGAATCATTGTGTTCTCAAATTTTCGGACCCTAATCAGAGTGAGACAAAGGAAAACAAAAGTCAAATACAAATGATATCTTCTTCAGAAGAACGTAGCAAGATCCTTGTGGCGATCTCGTTGGACCGCGATGAGAGCCAAAATGTTCTATCTTGGGCCATCAATGTTCTTGCTAAACCAAGTGACACTATCGTTGCTCTCCACATTCTTGGTTAGTATAAATATATACCTAATTTCCTCTGATTTTTTTTTTTTTCGAAGTTGATCATATGAATAATTAGGAAACTAAAATGTTGTTTGTTGCAGGGAGTGAAGAGCCGAGAAAGCTACCAATGAAGAAGAAGAAGAGAACACAGATTCGTCGTGCCAAAGCACATGTTATATCCATGCTTGGCGAGTTCGCTTACACTTGCTGCCAGAACCAAGTGCGACCAATTTTTTGTTTCCTTCTTTATAATTTGGCCTAATAGGATTTTAAACCGAACTAAACCAGATTTAGGGTAAACTTAACGAGAAAACATTGTGAATCTAGAGTTTTCTGTTTGGATAAATTACTGGTATCACAATATTGTCAATATTCCATATAACGTAAACAATATATTCAAATTTATATTTCCAACTTGATAGGTAAATTTGGAAGCCAAGGTAGGGTTTAGCTCAAACATCGGAAGAGGACTAATCGATGAAGTCAAGTCGATTTCTGCTCACTATCTTGTTCTTTGCCGACCAACAACTCACGAATTCAGGTAACAACCGGATATGTTCCGGTACGGTTTAGAAATTTATGATCCAGTTCATATTAATCCTTGTATAGCTCTTTTATGTGTTTCCCTCGTGTAGGATATGGAATGAGATCACAAGATATGTCTCCGACTTTGCTCCATCAAGTTGCTCTATTGTTTTAGTCGGAAATCAAAGAAAAACGTATAAAGATTGCTACTCTGGCTCCATGATTTCTCGAGGTTAGATCATATTAATACTCCGTTTAATTTTGGTACTAAGATTTATATTATTAGCGGATTCAACTAACAAAGATGTTTTTCATAGACATAAAGAGTGATGAGAAATATTCACCGCGCAGCATACTAAACACTCTATCGAGAGATTCAATTAGCTCTTCAGGAGATGATGCTTCAAGTTTCAATGGTTCAATGGTCTCTTCTAGCTTCGCTTCGCCTTCAGACAAACTCAAACATAAGCCAATGTCTCCGTACAGATTCATATCTTCTCTTATCATGAATTCTCCTTTGAGGAAATGGAGAAGAAACGAGACTAAGAACAACCCCAAACCTCAACCTCCAATTCAATGCTTTACTTACAACGAGATCTCTAAAGCCACAAATGATTTTCATCAAGGTGAGCATCTTAGAAATATAGACCAAAAGTTTAAAACTTTGGATCAAATTCATTAATCAAAAAAACAAAGATTGATAATTTTGGTTTTTATAGATAGAATTACCTAATCTAAGTATTTGGTTGAAATGCAGATAACATAGTAGGCATAGGAGGGTACTCCGAAGTGTACAGAGGAGATCTATGGGATGGAAGAAGAATCGCAGTGAAGAGACTAGCCAAAGCGAGTGGTGACATGAACAAAGAGAAAGAGTTTCTTATGGAACTTGGCATCATAAGTCACGTCTCTCATCCCAACACAGCTCTCCTCTTAGGTTGTTGTGTTGAAAGAGGTCTCTATCTGGTCTTCAGTTTCTCCGAGAATGGAAACTTGTACTCTGCGTTGCACGGTAATATAAATTCAGATGGCTTTCATGTTGTAGTTGTAATATTCAATACAAACAATATGTATATAGTTTGAATGTTGATTTTAGTTTTGTAAATGCTGCGAAAAACCGGGAACAGAGAAAGAGAGCGGGTCTCTAGATTGGCCTATACGGTACAAGATTGCGGTTGGAGTTGCTCGCGGGCTTCATTATCTTCACAAACGCTGCAACCATCGGATCATTCACCGCGATATCAAATCATCTAATGTTTTGCTTGGACCTGATTTTGAACCGCAGGTGAGCTTTCTTGTCACGAAAGCAATTCAGGTCCGGTCTATATATGTATCGAAATAAGATGTGTGATTATTTTTTCTTGTGCAGATTACTGATTTTGGGTTGGCGAAATGGCTGCCTAACAAATGGACTCACCATGCGGTGATACCGGTTGAAGGAACGTTCGGTTATCTAGCACCAGAGTCCTTAATGCAAGGAACCGTTGACGAGAAAACAGACATTTACGCGTTTGGTATTCTCCTTCTAGAGATCATAAGCGGACGAAGACCGGTGAATCCCTCCCAGACACACATTCTCCTTTGGGTATAATTCTAGCTATAACAACTTGCTTGCCTTTTAAGGAGAATACCAGACTGACTTGGAGGTTTCCTTATTGACTTTTCGGTCACTAACATGTTTTATTGTCACATAGCTGATTTTGCTTGCTCCTTCATCCTATTCTTTCTTGTCCGATATCCGAGCAAATTGGCCGATAATAATATAACTTTCTCATGCATAAACTGATAGTTTGTTAAGTTTCAACGTGGAATTCTTAAGATTATAATCATATTGATGGGAACAAATGAATGATGAACAGGCGAAGCCGGCGTTGGAGACAGGTAACACCAGAGAGTTGGTTGATCCAAAATTACAAGACAAGTACGACGATCAACAGATGAACAGGCTTGTCCTTACAGCTTCGCATTGTGTTCAACAATCGCCGATATTACGACCAACCATGACTCAGGTTGGTTACATGCATATGTCATATAATAGTAAGAATCAAAGCATCCAAAACCCAAATTCAAATTGGTTTGATTTTGTGATTTTGTATTGTTTAATTAAAGGTATTGGAGTTGCTCACAAATGGGAACGAGGCTGAGATTGCAAAGAGCTTGAGAATGCCTAAGGACATGCATAATGAAGATGAGGATAATGATGAATGGGATGAGTATTCTATGATTTTCGGATATGATGTTCCTTTGGATTCTTCCTTTTAATATTTTTTTTATATCAAATATCTAGTCGACTAGAGAGAGTTTTTATAGATTTTTTTCCTTTTAACTCTTTTGCATCTTTATGAGATCTTTAAGGGAATTCATCCATTATGTATCAAGATTCGCAACTATAGAGAAAAAAAGTTTCCTCTTACTTTTAGTTTATTTACATCTTAAGGAAATAAAATAAACTTAAATTTATTTGAGACACAAACCTAAAACCTAGTAAATTATTTCCCTGATAAAGAACTGAGACATATATTATTTCTCCCACACTTATTGCTTCCATCGTTTAAGAGTTATTAAGAGTACTATAAAATCGATGAACAGAGTTAGGCAAAACGAATCTCAACATCTTTCTTTTAGATTAAGAAAAAGATTATTGTATAACATATGGCATGTGTGTGTATATCGAATGAGATAGATGAATTGGTCGTTTTCCAAAAGAACAAAAACTATCATAACAAAAAAAGCATTAGCACTTTAATCCATTAAGAAAAGAAAGCAATAGTATGGATCTAAATAGTGACAGTTTTTTGTGGAACTTGTTATAACAGATAATTCAATAAGAAAATATAATACTATGGATGTAAATGGTGATAGTTCTTTAGTGGAATTTGTAATAACATATTTAATATGGGAAATGTCGATACATGGTTTTTTTTTTTTTTTTTTTTGCTTTTTTCTTGTTTTTGACTTCGATTATAAAGTAACTTCTTAAAAATAAAATAAAAAATCAGCTAGACAATGTAAGAAAGCCATAGTATGTTAGTTCTTTTGTTAGCTTTTTTTTTTGCATTTACAATGTTGATGATCAAGTGGAAAATGGGAACTGTTAGGATAGGGATTAAGGTGCAGAAGTGGACCACGAGACAAGTCCTTGGGCCGGCGATGCACGTGGTTAGGGTGTGGTCGGACCCTCCACTTGTCTCCTCTTCGACCCAGTCCATGTCGGACCCACTTGGCCACGCAGGTCCCACTTTCAAGGAGCCAACAAATAAACTATCTTTTCCCTCCCAATTTATTGGTTCAACCTCTAACATGTTTTTTCCCTTTAAATGTGACAATGTGTCTCTTTAATATTACCTCTTTTTTATAACATTGGTGGAAGTTCACATAATTTAAAGATCGCTTGGTTTGACGAAAAAAGGTTTCCAAAACTCACGAGTCGTGATTATAGTGTTATAATTACGTATAGACGATCGATTACTATATTTGTCAATATTATTCATATATAAAATACAGACAAGCATTTCGCCGTAGAGACTACTGCGTCACCAACCTTGTAATGTGTATAAACCATAACGAAGATCGGTGACCTTCTTATATGATTTTTAGATGTAAATTCGTTCAAATATTTCGTTATATATATTGAGATATTCAGATAACATTTTCAAAAGTAACTAAGTTACACAGATTTTAGAGAAAGAGACATTATCTGAACCTTTTGATCAAATTATAATAATAGTAATCAACCATGGTCATATAGTTCAAAATTTATTGTTTCCTCAGATGTGTAACTTGATCTTCTTCTTTTTTTTTTCTTCTTTTTTTTGGCTAAAGTGTATAATTTGATCTTTGTGGCTGCAAAATAATAGTTAGACCTATATATATTTTAATGTGTATTAGATATTTATTCATTAGGTGTTATTCAATTTGTTTCATTTATCTCAATTTTAATACAACTCCAAAGTGTTTTACAAAATGCACGAAGATAACAACAGAGAAATACGGTATGTAGTCACACTGGAGTTATACGCGCTCTCATGCAAACTTAAAAATGTGTTAAAAATTAGATTGAAATAAAACTGAAACTAATTAGAATAATAAGCATATGATTAATATACATTAGACAATGAGTTTGGTCGAATTCACCTAACGAGCTTAATCTAAGGTTAATTGAGGGAAAACCATCACACTAAATCCAATCTGTTCGTGACACTCAACATCAAACTTTTAATTCTTTGTTTTTTTGTTTTAGTAAACAAACTTTAGTTCTATGTATTGTCATAACTTTGCTTTAATGCGCTATTATTAACGTTATTATGATTGTATATATGTGGCCCCGAAGCCAAATCATTCGTAGCCACTATTTGCAAATCTTAAGCTACCTTCCAAGAAAACATCATGCCTAATATGCCCCTTGCATCAAGCTCTCTAAATCCACTTGGACGGCACAGGTCTCATTCAACTATTGCAATCCAAATTCATGAAATTATTGATCATAAGTATTTACATTTTTACGAATCTTGATATATTTCTACAAAGTAACTATTTGTTTATTAAGATGAAAACTACTAAATCAAATAGTAACTAGTTAGTGGTTTTCACTTCAAAAGTATTTCTTAGTATATTTCTATTTACGTTTTTTTATAAAAAAACAAGTTATAGTTTTTATGTTTTAAAATGTAAAATTTTAACAAATTTTTCATATTTATTTTCATTTTATTAGTCTATTAACTAATAATTTTATGTTTTCAAATGTAAAATTTTAACAAATTTTCATATTTATTTTCATTTTATTAGTCTATTAACTAATAATATCAAATAAAATAATGTATATATAAGAAATAAAACAGAAATTTTTTAATAATTTTTAATGTATGTAAAACAATCTTAAACAACAACTACTGTGAAATGAAGAAAATAGTTATTTTGTTGATTTACGTCAAAGATAGATTCTGTTTTAACATTGACTTATCTAACCAAATTTATTTAATTTATTTAAATGATGTTACATTTTAAACTTATAGTAGAAATTCTATAATCCATCCCAAAATTTATAATTAATAGTTATTAAAGTTTTTAAATTAATAATTCAATAAATTAAGAATTTTATCCAATTCTAACATTATTATTTATAGTGTTTCTATGGTATAAAAAACCATAATAGAATAAATTACTCATCAAATACATTTCATTATAGAAAATTTAGTCAGTTGGTAAAGTTTTGATTAACTTCACGATCAAAAGGCGATAAAAGTGATTAAAGAGTCCATATGAATATGAAGAAAGTGAAGATTATGTATATAGTAGATTTATTTGCTCTTTTTCAAACATATTTTTATTATATCATACGCATACAAGAAACCTTGAACAAGTTGCAAGGAAGCTGTGACGTTGTAACCTTTTTAACTGTAATATACAACTTATAATTAGAATTACGATCAGAAAACACCTATAGCCTATAATTATTGACATAGCTATCATAAATAACTAAATAAGTAATGATTTTGGATAGGCAATATGCCAAAAAAAAAATTATTTAGATACACGTGAAACAAATATTATGCTAATTAACTGAACATCTTTTTTATGTATGGTTGGAATGAATGTTAAAAAAAAATGGCAAAATCACTGAAAAAATCGACTATTCCGTATATTTAAAAGAATCATATGTTTACCATAATTCAGTAAATCACCGGCACTTACGACAAAACATCATAGTTCCAATTGACTTTGACTTTAACTGATAATTATCATGTTCCTGCAAAGAGATAAAGTTAAGATTGGCTCTACAGAAACCCAAAAGGCAAAGTTTATGAAGTTTCGGACAAAACCATTAATTGCATTCTTCCTACTTTTTCCTCCAATTTCCGAAAAATCTAACTTTTTCGCCTATTACTCTATCACTCTGCGAAAGTTCCAGATATACTTGGATTATACAATAACATATGACTCAAATAATTGGAGTTACTCTAGGGCAGAAAAACTAACTCATAACGGTAGGTTTGATTTTGAAAAAAAAAAAAAAAAAAAAACGGTAGGTTTGATAGTCCGTTTTACATATAGGTAATTACGTAAATGAATACAGTACTAGTAAATTTATTGACCTAAACACGTATTATTGACCTAAAAGATTTCCCGCTAATTTTTTCTTAGGCGATTTCATTGTATAAGAATTTAAAATAATAAGGATTAGATCAGCTACGTAAGAAAATTAACAAGCCAAACTCCACCTAAACTCCGTCAACAGATATAGCGACAAGACAACATCAGACAATAGAGAAATTGTAATTTACCAAATTATATGATTTCATAACATTTTGCTAAATAAAAATAAGCATACATAAATAAGGAAAAAAAAAAGGTTACAGTGAGAGGGATAGACAGAGTAAAAAAAAAAGATTAAACGGGCGAAGCTGTAAAAAAAGATAAGGTTGTTTTGTCTACGGTAAGACTCGCTATAATTATTAATTATAATAAGGACCCAAAGGTAAATCGACGGTGGAAGAAGGTGCTTTTTTTCAGGTGATTCTTTTATATACCTCCACCGTATATTGGAATCAGAACGTTGGTACGACACCGTACTGTGCGGCTGAAGCGTACACGTGGCTAAGGAAAACGTCGTCGTTTTCAGTCTCTGTTCGTTTCGCGAACCGGCCTTTGATCCTTGGCCGTGACTCTGCGTATGCTTTCCTTGAAGCGTAACGGATCGTCTTCTCGAATTTCCTGTTCTTTCGCTTCTCTCTGTACCTCAAAACCCTAGCCTCCCTGTCCATGGTGTTCGTTTGATCGCCGGCAGTCACCGTCGAGCCGGTGATCGTGCTCCGGTTAAACGGAATCGAGATTTCCGAGACGGAGGTGTTCCCGTCAGGTACCACGCCGAATTCGGGAGACGAAGTCGATACCTGAAATTAGAAAATCAAAGTTAATCTTTTTTCTGAATTTCAACAGCTTTGTGATTGAAAACAGAGAGATTTGACGGAGGGAATTTACACTGTGGCTGATTGATTGAGATGGGTAAGTGAAAGCAGAGAGCTTTGATCTGCAGAAATCTATGTCGAAGCAGTGATCGTTGTTAGTTAATGGAAGAGGCTCTGTTTTCGTCTGAACCGGAACGAGGCTGTCAGCTCCGGCGCTGCTATGCGGCGGCTGATGACCGAAGGAGTTTGGGTACTCGAAATCGATGAGTCGATCGAAATCGGAAAACATGTACTCCGAAGATTTCATTTCAGTTCCGATTTCGATTTTAGCCGGCTCGTTGAAATCGTTTGGGAGCAGCCACGGGCACAAACCGAGATCCTCGGAGTTACCCATCACCGGAACGGCGCTTAAGTCGACGGTGGTACCTGACCCGAGAATCCCAAACGTCGAAGCTGAGATTTTAGCGACGGCTGTTTCGGCGGAATCGAAGAAAGACTCGACGGGGACTCGTTCATGGCGGCTAGCGAGTGGATTAGCCGAGTGGATATCGGAGTCGCAGGTGACGCAGAGAGCGGCGGCGTCGGCTTTGCAGGTGACGGCGGCGGGAGCTTGTTCGCAGACTTCACAGACCCACACACGCTCGTGGCGCGTGAAGGAGTGGATCCTTGTGTCGCAAGTGATGCATAAGAAAGCTGAGTCAACTCGGCAGAACACGGTGGCGGCTACTGATTTACAAGCGTCACAGGAACGCGCCGCCGCGCCCCACCCGCCGGAGATTGATTTGATGCTCTCTAAGCCGAATCCCATTAACTTCTCTCTCTACTGCTTTTTTTTTCCTTTCTTTCTTAATTTAATTCGCCAATGTCTCTTTGAAGTTTTTGGAAACTAAAGTTTGAGAATGTGAGAGAGTTGGGTATTTGATTTGCTTGGATGATCTGTCATGTCCAGTCAGACAGAGAAGACACAGTATGTCTTAACGAATTGTATTGTGACACGTGTAATAATCACATCCACATAAAATACGATTTAAAATTGTATTACGGTATATAGGCTTTAATTTTTTTTTTTTTTCCTTTTCGTTTCCTTACGCATGGAAATAATATTTCGTAGAAAAGAAAATTAGGCGGACAAGAAACCAACTAAAAAAAAAAAATTAGGCTGAATAACGTAATCCGATTTTAAACATTTTATTTTGTTAATCCTTTTTTAACAAAAGAATATACAGAGAAAAAAAGACATAAAAATAGATGAAAGACTAATCTTTTTATTTGAAAATCAGGGAGACTCAACCTCTTATTTGAAACGACAAGCGTGATGACAATTTTTCTTTTTGGAAAAACGATCGAACTCAATCAACATATCTAGCAGCTTATGCCACATTGCCCGCTCTAAATGTATGTACGATATGTTATGTTAAAATGTTTGAATCTTTAATCTATTTCTGAATCTAAAAATACTTTATATCCTATATAAAATCAACCCAATTTTAATTGATGACATAAAATAACAATTATCAGAAATAATTATAAAGTTCGTTAGGGAAGCAGGCAGCTGGTCAAGGCCGTTGCGTACATATATTATCAAATGAAACTCAAGCAAAAGCTCTAGTGGATCTACTTTGGACTTCTTGTCTCTATCATCTGCATAATATTTGCATATAAATTTTCTATGAGATGTATGTTTTAGACTTTAAAACCTTAAGATGTAAGGATATCTTTTGTATTTGAAACGCATTGTTTATCAAAATACCATATACATATCTGGTATCAGAACAACCTCTTATTTTTGCTAGTCATCCGTCGATATGAGTTACTATTGTTCCTAACAGACAATCCTTTTTAATCAAATAAATGTTAATAGTAAGTGAAATGGGTTATTTTGTCAACTCCACAAAAACTTTGTTCGATATTTTTAGTGGATTTCATTTTTTGTATTGTACTTTTGACATGTTGTCTTTATAATAATAAATAGAAATAAAATTTTATCAATCAAAATTGTATCTTCTTGCATGAATTATGAAAAATCTATGTAGTGAAAATTTAATTAGTGTCCAGTAACAATTTATTTTTCCGAATTTGGATTCAACGGAAGCAACCGAGTACTACACTAACCATATTTGTGTTTTGTAGTGATAAGTTAATTGTGCTCTTATATTGTCATGAGTTGATTGTAATTACCGTTTCAACAAATATTTTTAAATCTTATACTTATCTTCTTAAAAGAAAATAAATTAAGCAACTATAAGTTAGATTTCCGTAGTTGTAGACTTAAAATTGTATGCTTGTATCGTAGTCGGATAGGGCCCTACGCGTGCGGGATATTTCTTGGAATTTTGAGATTGGGGAAAAAAAGGACAGGATGGTCGGCATGATTTAGCGTTCTTTAGTTCGGCATGAAAGCAAAACTTGGTTTTTCTTTCTAATTTCAGAAACTTTGACTTCGAGAACTCATAGAACATATCTTTGCTTAAGATTTTGTTTTACGGTTTTAGTAAAGAAGATTCGGTAATACATTGTACGATTTATTAAGCAAGATGCATTTTGTAGTGTGTTATAAAGCAACGTGTTCGACATTCTATTCTCATATGAGATACCTGATTCTGCAGGACAACTATTTTTGAAAAAAATATATCTTCTTTTTAAAATTATATAATATACGACGTTCACCTTTTGAACTAACTTTAGTTTGAGAGAAACAAAAACTATAAATAATAGTATGAAAATACATAGAGAAACTCAAATGATACGCTTCTATTTGTTTCATAGTGGTGCTAAAACTGGATTACAGTGGTTGTTTTTCAATTTATTTTTTAATCAAAATCATATTCAGTCTAGCTCATATAATGTAATATTCAACTGTCAAAATTAAACGAGAAGGAATCTTCTATTTGAGGTTTTTCAAACCCATAAACACAAACCTAAGAATCTCATACCATTTGATCAGTAATTATGGTATAAGAAAACGTTTAAAAGAATTATGTTTTTTTCTAATTAATATTATCGTGTAAATATATAGTACATGTTTATTTTTGAAGTTTATGCAGTTAACTGTCTTATACATTAATATAAAAAAGAGTTACAATAAATTTTATTAAAAAATATATCCATGAAATATGTTTGTAGTCTCCCAAAATAATAAGCAGTAAGATAGAAATCAATAATCTTACAATAATGTAGAATACTTACAAATGTGTTCTTTTAAAACGGTCGCTTATAGGATATATTGTACACAGTCTGACAACATATGTCTAACATACAATTAATACTTAGATTGTTATCTGACAATTCGAATTATTTTTTACAGCCAATGATATCTCTATCTTTAAAACATATCTTCCGACATGAGATACACGCAAAAAGTTTCGCTGTATTGGGCACTGAATGCACTGTACATTACTCTTAGACTTGACCCCATCTCGGGCATCTCTAGATTTTATCGTCAATTTTTAAATCTTACTAGTGGGAGAAATTGTCTTTATTCTCCTTCTCTCTTACCCATTTTGTTTCTTCTAAATTATTGGACGATAAGTCTAAGTTTAGTATAACTGATTTTTGACATCAATTAAAAGAACGATGACTACTCTAAGAAAGAGATACCATTTACATATTTACATATCTATTGGAACGGATTCAAGTTGTCGAGGATGTATAACATAATCTTAGACAATATTACGAAATCGTATATATCGGTTGGTGATCGGAAAAAGAAGAAGAGAAAACAGCATATCGGCTTGGTATTAGTGGTACGGAGATATAAGAACCAATGTAAGCAGTAATGGAATTATTTAGTTTGTCACACGAATCGAGAGATAAGTTGAAGACAGTGAAATGCTTTAGATATGTATGTATGGGTCAGGTTTTTTTTTTTTTTTCTTTAAAGATATCATTTCCGATCCGGTTTAGAAAACCGAACCGCATCTTGGCATCAGAACCAATAAAATAGAACATGTTATAATTTACAGTCCCTAAACCCTTGATTCAAAAACGACGTCACATTGCATGTCAATTCATGCAGAAAGCATCATGCCTTACGTCGGCCATATGAATTTAGTTATATACACGTAATCTATATCTATATTTTATAGTATCACTAACATTTTCCCTTCAATTTTTGCATATTTCGATTACTTATATAGACATTTGAGTTTTGACTACAAGTCCTTATTCTGATCAGAATGATGTTTAAACTAGTAGAGATTGTCATATCCCCAAACATATAAACACAAAGATTTTTTTTGTAATCTAATAATTTTCAATTAGTATCATCGACTCATCGTTGTTTGACCAAAATCCATTCGGATTTAGATGGTGTGAGAGCCGTTAATAACAAACATTAACTATTCATTTTTAACTAGTAGTAAATCAGAATATTCTTATATATATGCATGATAATTCCATAAAATGCATAAATTATATAAACAGATTTCGTTACCGAAAAGTTTTAAGCTCTAAGCAAGTAGTTGACAATAGAGAACGATGGACCATTGATATTTGATAATAGTATGGGTGAGCATGCCATGTGAAATTCGACGAACAACGTATATAGCGGTCTTTTCAAACTGTTTTCTTATAAAGTACTTAATAATTAAATGAGCCCATTTAGCTATAAATGGCTATTAGTTTTGACTGTTGACTGTAGCGTGGTCCGGTCGAAATAATTTTCCTTAGCGGTCCACACGCTTAATCATTGTTAAAAGCAGAAGTGAGTTATATACAAACTTTTAGCGTCTAATTAATCTGACTCGATCAAATATGGAATTTTTTTTTTTTTGGGTTACTGCCATAAGCGTTGGATAGACAGTGATGAAGAAGCTTATGATGAAGGGACACTCGCTAACTTCCCTCGGATGATAACTCAACATTGATATGCAGTTACTATTAATTAATTATACTGCCCAACGAAATCAAACGTTAATATACGTATAAATTTTAACTGTACATTGTACGTTGACCTAATCATTCACATCACGTTTCATTCATAAACTTGCTATTATGAGGATTAGCAACGCAACAGTTTGAAAATTCAAGCATTAAAAAAGTAATACTTTCCCTCAAAAGGAAAGTGGGTGATCTGATCTTTGCAAGCCTAGCAAGTGATCCGACACGTGTAAGCATCTTCTGAATTTGAGTAACACGTGTGAGAGTTGGAAGATCGTGTATTAGACAATTAGTATTAGTCATCAAAATGACTATTGGTTAGAAAACTCAATAGATCCAAATCCAATAATAAATTCATTTTCAACTCCAACTGTTTATTCTATCCTCTTTTGTCCCTACCCCTTCATCATCGTATAAATAATAAAATATTGACGATATTTTTATATAGGTAATGGACCAATGTCAAAAAGAAATGGACGTGTGATATATATATTAAACTACCAAAGCTACATTGCTTCACACGATAGATTGGTCGTTTTTATTTTGTTTTCAAATGTATAGAATACTCAGATAAACTCAGGATCCACTGGAATTGCAAATTTCTAATTTTTGTTTGTTACTTCTTGTGGTTCCTATCTCAAAAATATTACAGTTGAAATAGCCGTTTTACCGTTAAAACGTATAGCCACGTGACAAAAATGAAAAGATCACCAAGTTGAATGCTGTTAGGTGAGAGTGTGTGAACGCAGTTGAAAAAGAAATGCTTCTTATCATCTTCTAGTCAATACTTTTTTTTAATAGGTGTAACCAAAATGCAATATTCACTTCGTTTCTTAACAATCTATATTCTGATATGCAAACAAAGCTCTCCACTACTGTTCTGTGATTGTGTTTTATACATGCACATGAAATTTAATCCTCGTGAAAATAAATGGGTATGGTAAAAGCAAAAGTGGAACAGTTATGGGATATATAATGATAATGTATAACATTTATCACACGATGCGACCTTTTACGAGACTCTACTTTCGGCCACAACTCGACAAAAGAAAAGACTTGCTACTTTTTGCCGACCCTTTTACATATATTTATAGAAACTTAATTCGTCAAAAACAAAGTATGAAGTTTTCTAGAAACATCGGAGGATAGCAATAATGGTAATCCTCCGATTATTGTAACCACCGGTAGTCTTGTAAATTTTACATCACGGTCGTCGCAAATTAGAAATGGAATAACAAAGTCTATCATAAACTATTCCATAGGATTACAGATATATATTCACTGCTTATAGTTCTTTTAAAAGAATACCTTTTTCCGGCAATTATTTTTGCTATAACGGACAAGTATATAGTCAGATTCCGATGTTATCCTATATAAAAAAGTTTACGTTGATTTTATGTCATTTTAAAAAATCAATGGTTTCTATTTCAAAGTCAATTGCTATCTGATAATGAGTGAATTATGTTAATTGTTACGTAAGAACTGTCTCTAGTTTCCATATGAATGTTGGAATGATAAACTATATCATATATGACTTAACAAGTTTTAATTGCTTGCACACAAGATAAGAAAACATTAAAATTTCAATCTATATCCTGTTCAGATTTCCATATGTTACAAATTTGATTGTATATATACCACTCTTTAAATCTTGTTATGATCTGTTTCGTTTTTTTCTACTTGTACTAATTAAAAAAGAGATATTTATAAAAAAAAGACACTTTGGAGAAAATCATTACAAATTTAGGTACTTAAAGGTTTCCAGGTACTTTGGGTTACTGTTCCATCATACCTTGATGATTTTATCTTTGATAATGCATTCACATCCATCTGTGCCATCTATGCATTCACATTCAATCTGTGTCATATATGCTTTCACATCTATCCATAACATCTATATATTTTTATCTATCCATAACATCCATTTATTCTCATCCATTTATTTTCGGTGATGGTATGATAGTATTGGCGATCCACACATTCACATTCATCCATACATTAATATTTAACCATAACATCTGTGTATTCTCATCTATCTATCTTCGGTAATAGTATGATAGTGTTGGCAATCCATACATTCACATTCATTCATGCATTAACATTCAACCATAACATCTGTATATTCTCATCCATCTATATTATCCATACACATTCGTCTATGACAGTTGTTGTCATCTATACACACTCGTTCACGATAATTATTATCACTTAAAGGTAAAAACATCTTTTTACACACATAAAATGCTTTAGTTCATCAAATGTCTTAATTTGTAAATTCAGTTTGGTAAAGTGTCTTCTTTGTAAATTTCTTATTAAAAAATATCCTAATAAAAGAAGCATTTACGGTAAATACAAACTTTATTGTATAGTCATTCACAAAAGAAGGGATCACAAATATATTTTTAGATAAAAATAGAACGGATAAGCCTTTGGGCTTTGTCGCAGAAACCTTCATTGAATTCAAGTAAAGCCCAAACAGTTTTTCTTATTTGATTTGAGGTAAAGACTTAAAAGAGTGTGGAAAGCTAAGTACATAAACCTGAAACTAAATTAACCTTTTTTTATCACTTTATTTTTCTTTGTTAAGTTTTCAAACTTCTCAAAGATAAGAGAGAAAACATTCTTCTTCTTCTTCTTCTTCTTCTTCTAAAACATTGCTGACTGGAAGATCATCTCAGCGAGTTCCTGCAGAGTTTTGTTTCAATGGATATCATTCATTATGAGTTTGTGTTTAAGAAAAACAAAACTAGAATTATGTTTTGGTAGAAAGAAACTTGTACCTGTTTAGCGGAAGGAACCTTTAATTCTCCAAACTCTTTAGCCTTCTTCTCAAGATACTCAAAGTCAGCTTTTCCTTCTTCTATTTGCTTCCCAATCTCAGTGTCCCAACTTGAATATCTCTTCCGTACCAACTCGCTTAGTCTTCCCTCCTGTTACCAATCATCATCATACACCGACCATGTCAATCAATGATTCTTTTAGGCGAGAAGTAGTAGTGAAAACAGCTCATCTATTCAAATCTTATAACTAACCTCCAAGATTTTGACTGCATTTCTCAATCCACGAGCGATTGTGTCCATTCCACTAATATGAGCAATGAACAAGTCTTCAACATCTGTGCTCTCTCTTCGCCTGTTTATTAATCAACACTATAAGCTTCTTTCTGGGTTTAAGAATGAATGAAATAACAAAAGTTTGGGAGTCAAGAAACGCTCTTACAGTTTGGCGTCGAAGTTGAAGCCTCCTGGAGCAATCCCACCCTGTTTCGTACATAAAAAGAAAAAAACATGAACATATGCTCTATTACTATGGCGAGAGAATGAGGTTTGATTTATATACATTTCTGATGACACTGATCATAATCATGGTTGCTTCTCCAACATCTGTAAGAAACTGATCTGTATCCCATCCTGTTGAGACAAGGAGAAAACATTGTTCAGTCGACTGTCGAGAACAACGAGATAAGACACATTAACAATCAATAGAGCTGAGATTAATAAAAATTCACCAGTTTGAGCATCGCCAGTGTTTGCATCAATGTTCCCAAGTAAACCATTAAGCCTTGCGGTTTCAAGCTCGTGATGACAGGTGTGCCCGGAAAGCGTGGCGTGGTTACACTCGATGTTGAGCTTAAACTCGTCTATAAGTCCGTACTTCCTCAGGAAGTTAGCAGCTGTTGCAGCATCCCAGTCATACTGGTGCTTGGTGGGTTCCTGAGGCTTGGGCTCGATTAAAAGCGTGCCTGATGAAAATAAGATTAGGTTACAGTGATTTACACACGAGTGAATGACAGAGAAGAAGATGAAGACTTACCGTTAAATCCAATCTTCTTCTTGTAGGCAACAGCAGCTTCAAAGAACCTGGCCAGATGATCAAGCTCTCTTCCCATATCAGTGTTCAAGAGCGTCTGATAACCTTCACGACCACCCCAGAAAACATAGTTTTCACCGCCCAAGTAATGTGTAACCTCCATGGCCTTCTTCACCTGAGCAGCAGCGTAAGCATATACTTCAACCTCGGAGCTGGTTGCTCCTCCGTGCATGTAACGAGGATGCAAGAAAAGCTGAGCTGTTCCCCACAATGGTCGAATATTGCTTCCCTGCATTTGAGGAAACTTTTTTTCTTAGCACATCCTACTTAAGTAATGTGGCAACAAGATAGTGTTTCATTACCTAAGACTAAAGAGCTTCAAAAATGAAATGGTAAGGTGGCAACAAGATAGTGTTTCATTGACTAAGACTAAAGAGCTTCAAAAATGAAATGGTAATGTGGCAACAACATAGTGTTTCATTGACTAAGACAAGAGCTTCAAACACGAAACGGCATGCATGAGGATATATTCACTACAGATTCCATCATTCACAATCCGATGCTTAATAAGAAAATGGGAAATTACTAGCGTGAATCACCTTTTGAAGTTCTTTGGCAAGTTCAATAACTTCATCCAAGTTTTTGTTAGACTCCTGCAGAAAAAAAGCAGGTTACAAGTAATGAAATCAAAGGGACAAACATCAAGATTATACGGTCCCTTAATACTAAACCGTCATGATGTTTTTGGAAGCTTGCGTAGTTTACCTCAAGTGTATTGCCATCAGGAGCTATGTCTCTGTCATGGAAACACCACCAATCAACTCCAAGTTTCTTCAAGAACTCAAAGTTGGCTCTCACTGTAGTTTCATCATTTAAACAACAGTCAGAAACTCACTCACTCACTCACGCACAAAAACTCGAAAACTCCACAGAAAAAACCGATCATTACTTACTTCTTCTCTTAGCCATAGACACAGAGTTGGTACCATCTTCCCACGGCCAATACTTTGTAGCCGCACCAAATGGATCACCTCCGGTCCCACGGAAAGTATGCCAAAACGCTACACTGAATCTAAACCAGTCCTGTTCCAAAAAATTCAGGAAAATAAACATATATTAAAACATCTCAACCCTCTTATCTCTTACAAACCCCACAAAACAACTTAAAATTACAACACACCTTCATTTTCTTCCCAAGAATCTCCTCTTCTGCGTTATACCACCTGTAAGCAAGTGGGTTCTTGCTCGAAGGTCCCTGGAAAAAAAAAATTGGGTGAACAAATCAATTGATCTACACATGCAACAATTCCTAGAATCGTCTTAGAGAATCTCACCCACTAGATTTGAGTGTCATTATTGTTGTTACCTCATACTTAATCTGGGGGATTTCAGGGAAGAACTCTCCTTGCCAATCACCAGAATCACTGCCCTTCTCTCCCTCATCATCCGCAGGACATGATGCTCTTCCTAGGTAAGTCATCGGTGGATCAGCAGACTTCACAGAAAATCAAACCAATTAGAGATCAAAACAAACTTTAAAAAACTCAGATATGTTTCAATGATCGGAAGAAAAATTCGAGCTTTTGATAAGGCTTACCACTAGAAATGACGCTGCGTTTAAGCAGAGAAGGAGTATAAAAAACCCAACTTTCTTCATCTTTTTTCAACCAGATTGAACAAAAAACCTAAACGATCATGAAAAAAATAAAAAAATTGAGATAAACGGAATAAAATCACCATTGGGAATCATAAAAATAAAGATCGAATCGCCAAGTCAGAAATCGAAAGCTCAAAACCAAAACCCAGTTCTTACAATAAAATCGAAATCAATGATCGCTAGAGCGAGAAAGAACACTAAAACTCGCCTTGAGTATATAGATGGAGGAAACCCAGTCTATGTAAATATATAACAGGGAGAGAGCTAATTATAAAACCCAGGCTTGTGAATTTTGATAAAATTGAAAAAAAGATAAATAAACAGATTAATTTTTGGATTTAGTAGAGGATAATTAAGAATTAGTCAGATAGTGATGTGATTGTTTTTTGTGTGTTTCCAGTTTTACCCTTAGCATAAATGAAATCGACGGTTGTGATATCATCGGTAAATTAAAGCAATATCCCAATCTTTCTTTATCCGGAAATAACGTAGCGGATATCACCTTCTGACTCGGCAATTCTTCTGTCCTATGTTTAGAGCAAATTAAATATAAAGAAATTGACATAAGTATTGTAAGCATATAACGACGATTTTATTATGTTTCCAAGTAAATTTATCAAATGTGTTGATAAGCTTTCTTTTATAAATTCTCAGAAAACAAAAATTCGAAAAAGTAACTATTTATTTCTAAGAAATTTATGTCACCCGTGAAAAATATAAATGTTCCTCTGTCTCCGTGAGTCAGTGACATAGGACTGGACAAATTATCCGTTATATTTGATTCGATCCGCTATTTGCTTCGATTCGAAAAATTCGGATATTCGTAGCTTTACAGAGCAAAGTAAATACTAAATTTTAATATCCGTTAAAAATGGAACAAATCACAAATATTAAAATTCTAAAAGCCGGATATCCGATCCGCTCCGATATACATATATATATATAAATAATTACATATATAATGTATAATTAATATAATTATATGTAAATTTTTGTGAATTTATATTTATTTTATCAGTTATTTTAATACGAAATTTTAATAAGAACAATTTAAAATTTAATATATGAATTATTTTTGACTTTTTAATTATTTTTATAAATAATTTTATTTATTTTATAAATATTTTAATTATTTTATAATTAATCTAATATTTTTGAAACGGATCGAATATTCGGTCAAAAATCCGGATTTTAACAGATATCCGAATACCGGATATCTGATTAGTAACAGAGCAAATACGGATCAAAAAATTATTGATCCGTACAGAGCGGAGCGGATCACAGATATCACTAAAATTTCGGATATTCACTCCGTGCCCAAGCATCGAAGCTTCGATCTTTTCTTCTCCAATTAGTCACCTCCACGCGGATCGAGTGCCGGACTTCGTCAACTGCGACTCAGGCATTACTCCAAATATCGGGCCCTTATGGTATCTCGTACACATTCCGACGATTGGCATTTTCGTTATAACTTTCCGAATTCGAGGGATTATTGATTTCGTCCAGCAATGAGGCAGATCGCTTCGGGGGGAAACGCCTCTACTTATGCCGCATGTAAGGCATAAAGATGGCAACAACGGGCTTGGCCTTCGCCTTTGTTTGTTGACTTGGAAGAGTACAAGATCGAAGAGGATCCTCATTCTCTCTTTAGTCAATCCCAATGGAAAAATCATCCGTATTGGCCGGCGGTTGGGCCAACTAATCTATTATCTTTGAGGGATGCAATAACTCGAAATAGACTAACATGACTGGTGAATAAGAACAGGAAGGAAGAAGGACTTACGTCAGGTCGAGGTATTTCTTTTTACCAGCTGATTTAAACCAGATAAACATATGTGATCAATAAAAGCAAAAGATGGAAATGATTGATTGGATAATCGGTGGCGTAGAACGTAGAGAGGAGGGAGTCAGTAGTAAGGCACTGCGATACGACTGTTGTAAGCTCTGTTTTACAGCTTGTAATAGGCTGACACAACCGAACACATATTACATTACACGTTGCCCGTTTATTTGGGCAAATTGGCAAAACATTTAACAAAAGGCTTATATATATAATAACAAGTTTTAATATTGGGCCGCTAAAATATGGTCCCATTGAGGCCGGATCAGATAAATTAAATTTATCTGTAGACTAAACCAAAAATACAAATATTTTTGAAGCGTTGTCAAGAAAAAAAAAAAAACCCTGGTATCTGTACAGTTTAGACCATTTGAAAAGCATAAGTCTTTTTACCCCATAGTTCCAATACTGCCATATACCATTGGACTTAAATAAACAAAAAGTAAGGAACATTAATTAAAATGCACCATGTTTAACAAAATTCAACTTAGCCTGTCCTTCATTATTCATAGAATGCGTCTTGACAAAAATTGAAGACGATTGGAATGAAATGGCCTTTTTTTACGCCATTTTGCTAAATAAATTTCACATACTAATTAATGTTTGATATTAACTACCTTCTTCCGCAAATTTTTTGCTCCATGATTGATCTATAACAACATTGTCTCTAATATAAATCAAACAGAAATATATTTTGGAAATTATCTAACCCAGCTCAAATTCCAAAATTAGAAATTGGAGAGTTTGAGAAAAAAAAAAATTTACTTTATTTTTACTTTAAGTAATTATATATTTCTACTAATTTTTACACTAAAATATATTATATATTATATTGGTGTCATTAAATATCAGTAAATACATCTGGCATCAATAAGTTGCTTTTTTTCCAACTTAACTTGTTTTTCATTACTCATAGAATGCCTTTTGGCAACCATTTGCATTGTATTTTCATTGTTTAGTAATAAAAATTGAAGACCATTGGAATGAAGTGGCCTTTTTTAGGCCATCTTGCTAAACAAATTTCACATACCAATTAATGTTTGATATTAACTCTCCTTTTTCGCAATTTTTTTTGCCCTATGGTTGATCTATAACAACATTGTCTCTAATATAAATCAAATAGAAAGATGATTTTGGAAATTATCTAACCCAGCTCAAATTCCAAAATTATGAAAATGTGATGAGATTAAGTTTTTTTGCTTTAAATAATTATATAGTTCTACTAGTTCTTACACTAAACTATATATTGTATATTATATTGGTGCTTATGATTGATGTTTATTGCCAAATACATGTACCTTTACAAAATTATGATCTGATTCTTTCTTACCACTCCATCTTTTGTTATGGTTTCAATGATTTGTGAAAAAAAAAAAGGTAACTGAGTAATATCGATTTCTCATTTGTGACTACTTTGTGGTTTCCGCATTGAGAAATATTTAGAGCTTTATTTAGTTATCTTGCTCATAATTTTTACATACTGTTTCTGAGAACAGTTATGACTCATATACTACAGTTTTGTGATTTCTTCATATAAAAAGGTTTAAAATTTGCTCTTTTGAAACTCTCGATGTACCGAAGAGTATGTATGCCAGAACGAAAATAAAGCATCTAAATTATTTCGAGGTCTCTCAATGTCAATACCAAAGAGTATGTATCCCAGAACGAAAACAAGACATCTAAATTTTCTCGAGGAAATTAGTATGACATCTATTCTATTAATCAAAAGTTTTGTTTTCACAAATCATTGAAGCCAAAAGCAGAGGTTCAAGTGGTCGGCAAAATTGTTGAAATATTAATTTTATCACCCAATTGTTCAATACTGATAACACCGACCACAATTCAAAAGTTGTCTTTGATGTTCATCTGTATTTCAACTTTTCCTTAACAAACAATGTTATTGTCGATCTCAACTACAACGAGAACTACCAACAAGGATAACTAAGTTTCTGGCAGAATAAGGTAATTAACTATATACGGTAACAAATTTGTAGAATTGCATAAACACAAGCTTGTAAACAAAACTTAAAAGTCTAAAAAAGGCAAACAAAAACCAGAGTATTCATTCAGATTTTCTTTCAAATTCGTCAATTCTCACAAATTAATAATAATGATCATTGTATTCTTGATAGTCACTCGTTTTCCCTGGATCCCTTTGCTTCATTCTCCTCCTCCTTCTTCTTCTTCTTTGCCTCTTCCAGCTCTTGAAACGCCTTAGCAATGGCTGCTACCTCAGCAGGCAAAACTGGCTGCTCCTCCGTTTGCAACTTGCTCAAGGCCTTGGCAATGGCTGCAGCCTCACCAGCCAACATGGCTTCCTTCTCCGCTTGCAGCTCGCGTAACATCTTGGCAACCACGTGAGCCTCGGCAGCAATAATGGGCTCATAGTAGACAGGGTTATCAAACATACAAGTCTTGAATATCTTTCTGACCTCCTTGCATTTCGCTGGGTTGCTTTCTTCTTTGCCTTCATCCACACACTTCTCAAGTGCTACGAATGACTCTTTGCACTCACCTCCCTTTATGTACTTGCATAAACCGCACTCTTCAGTCTCTTGCTCTTCCTTTTCCTCTGTTTCATTCGAATCTTCAACTAGGGTTTTAGATTCGTCCCCATCTCGCGAACTAGCTGATGATGACTCTGCCTTATTTGTCGACGGATCCTCTCCACTCGCAGAATCTTCAACTAGGGTTTTAGACTCGTCGACATCTCGCGAGATAGCCGATGGCTCTCCCTGATTTGTAGATGGATCCTCTTCCTTGCTTTTAGCGATGTTAAGAGAATTCGCACTTCCAATAGTTGACGTAGAGATCAAGTTTTTGATTAGATATATTGCTTGCTACTCAATTTCCTCGTATATATATTTTCTTCTCTTATAAGAATGACACAACTTTGAAGAATTTCCATAAATTTTGGGATTCGTCGTCAATTTCCTTAATTGAACCACATATGCCAAATTTCACAAATGTTAATATTTTGAATAATCAACGACATAAAAAGAAAAGGAAATTTTTGAAGAAAAACATCCGTTTGCTTCGATAGACGATAGATTGGGTCCGTTTAGTGCCGGCCCAGCCTATACTAAAGAAGGTTTGGGCCGTTAAATTTGGGTGTAGCAAAATATGTATTTAACTATGTATTCTTCTACTCTTTTTAATAATTATTCTCTAATTCACGAATTTAATATTTTACACTAAATTCACTCTTCAATTCCTGTGACAATTATTTATACATTTTCCTTCAAGTATGAAGTACCACTATATTACATACATGTTCATATAATATCTTGAAGTTGAGATCTTTTGAAAAATAAATATCTTGGGAATCTGTACTTTTTTCAATTTTCAATTACTTTTTGTCGAATCAATAAAGCCAAATGTAAACCCACTTGTGGACAAAAATGAAAAAAAAAAAGGGCGTGAATGGGGAAGTGGGATGATATTTTCATTTTTGTTCTTGTTGTAAAACGTAATAGATTAGATTAAAAGGAGTAGAAAAATACAAAGTTTTTTTGGCCAAATAGGAAAATTTAATGGAGATGGAAATAAAATTAAAGGATATTATCGAGAATTACATAGATATCGTCACAAATACAATCTTTTTAATATTCTAAATTTAAAAGAGGGAAAGAAAAGGCTAAAAAGCAATAATGACAATCAAATCCACCTAGCTACCAGCTTGTGAACAGTGAAGATATACAATCCACACAAAAAGCGTTGTTTATTACGAGTATCAGTTTGTTTTTGTTTTTTTAATAAAGTTTTATTATCAGTTTGTTGAGAAGAGAAGGTAACCAATTTAAGCAGCTGATGATTGAATGACACATTCTCATTTCTCACCACGAGTGTCACGACCTACGAGTCATTCACTCACGAGTCCATCGGTCAAAAACAAACACACCCATAATATCTTTGATTACTTTCAAAAAAGGACAATATCATCTAAAAGTCAAACTTTTGATCCCACAAAACTCCTTAATACACAGCCTCCTTTAGTTTAGTTAACTCCCCTTTCCCTTCAAAGGTCATTGACATATTCTTCTTCTTCTTCTTCTTCTTCTTTCTTCCTTCTCTCGCTTTCTTTCTCTCTCTCTCTCTCTCTCTCTTCTCTCTCTCTCTCTCTCTCTCTCTCTCTCTCTCTCTCTCTCTCTCTCGCTCTCTCTGAGATGGGTTTGTTTGGAACGAAGAAGATTGGTAAATACGAGATAGGAAGGACAATCGGAGAAGGGAATTTCGCAAAAGTGAAACTAGGTTACGACACGACCAATGGTACCTACGTAGCCGTCAAAATCATAGACAAGGCTCTGGTTATTCAAAAGGGTCTAGAGTCTCAAGTCAAGAGAGAGATACGGACGATGAAGCTTCTCAACCATCCCAACATCGTACAGATTCACGAGGTTTTGTCTCTGTCTTTTTATGTCTCCTCAAACTCAAAAATTTTACAGTTTTATTTGTTCTTTGATGTTGAAAATTAAACTTCAGGTGATTGGGACCAAAACAAAGATCTGTATTGTGATGGAATACGTTGCAGGTGGTCAGCTTTCAGACAAACTTGGAAGACATAAGATGAAAGAATCAGATGCGAGAAAGCTTTTCCAACAATTGATTGATGCTGTTGATTATTGTCATAACAGAGGAGTCTTTCACAGAGATCTCAAGGCAAGAAGAGAAGAAACATTAATCTTCTTAGTTTTGTGCTGTTTGTTTTTTGTTCTAATGAATTTTATTTACAGCCACAAAACTTGCTGTTAGATTCAAAAGGCAATCTCAAAGTTTCTGACTTTGGACTAAGTGCAGTTCATAAGGTACCGTTTTCTATTATTAACCATATAGTATTCTATATTTAGTAACCAAAAATATTTGCCTTTGAAACAATCAATTCCTAAATAAGGGATTTTTGGTTATTTAATTCAGTCAGGGGACATGCTATCTACAGCTTGTGGGTCTCCATGTTATATAGCACCAGAGGTAACAATTAATAATAATATATATCACTTCTCATAATGTTTCAAAAATCTGCAGAAGCTTAATATGTTAATGATAAACAGCTGATTATGAACAAAGGCTACTCAGGAGCAGCAGTGGATGTATGGTCTTGTGGAGTGATTCTGTTTGAATTGCTTGCTGGTTATCCACCGTTCGATGATCATACACTTGCGGTTTTGTATAAGAAGATACTCAGAGCAGATTACACATTCCCACCTGGATTCACTAGGGAGCAGAAGAAGCTAATCTTTAACATACTTGACCCAAATCCTCAAAAGGTATAAATACAACAAGAAAGAACATAGATTCATCATTTTCAATCTTTAGTTCTAAAATTGAGTAGTAGTGTTTAAAGACATTTGAATGCAGCGTATGACCGTAGCTGAGATAATCACCCAAGATTCTTGGTTCAAGATAGGTTATGCACCAGCTTATCATCAAGTTTCAGACTCGATCAAGGCATGTTGATTCAATAGATTTCTGAAAACGCTAGTAGCTTTGTGTTTTAATATACTTCTCAAAGCTATGTATATAACTTATTCTGAATTATATCTCTTGCAGGAAAATGTGGCGGAAATAAACGCAGCTACCGCGTCTTCAAATTACATAAACGCATTTCAGATAATAGCAATGTCTAGTGATCTAGATTTGTCAGGTCTATTCGAAGAACAGGTAAAAGACTTTAAAACGGATATTTTGGGTGTAGAAATTTGTCAAAGACAGAGATACTAATGCTTGAAACTCTTCCTTATTTTTGTCTCTTCAGGATGATAAGATATATAAAACAAGAATTGGGTCTAAAAACACAGCGCAAGAAACAATCAAGAAGATCGAAGCTGCAGCAACTGATGTTAGTTTATCAGTTGAAAGAGTAAAGCATTTCAAGGTAAGCTTCAAGCTTAGTTTACTGCAGATTTCTTCTACAAATCATTAAGTCTAGTTGAAGATCTCATATATGCATCTTTTTGTTGTTGTTGTTGTTGTTTAATTATTAGGTTAAGATTCTGCCGAAAGAGATAAGATCAAGATCTTCTTATGACCTATTATCAGCAGAGGTGATCGAGGTGACTCCAACGAACTGTGTAATAGAAATATCAAAGGCAGCAGGCGAGTTAAGACTATACATGGAGGTAAACTGAACAAAAGTTACTAAAACCCTTTTAAGAAATATATATATTTTTTAAAAATGATTTTTTGAGTCATCTGATGACATGGGATTGCTGTTTTTCACATGACAGTTTTGCCAGAGTTTATCCAGCTTACTTACCGCGGAAGTAAGCTAAGAGCGATAGAGACTCAAGTAAAAATGTTGTGACAGATGATGATGATAAACAGAAGAACCAGATTTTGCAGATTCAAGTTGCAGTGACACGAAGACAATAAAAAGAATGGATTCAAAGAGTAATTCATGTCTTGTGGTGATCCCAAATGGTTCTCATGTGAAATGATTGATTTTTGTTTTTTCTAAGAAAATTTGTTAAATAACAAAAAAGATGAAATAAAGCAAGCCAATAACAGAACTTCTACGTATAATTTCATATTGTGTTTGAGAGACCATTGCAAGTGATATATTTTGCTTTGGTTCTGTTTTCATATGGCTAATCGTATTTTCAAAGAAACGTAGCTGGAGAAAATTAGACAAGAAAATTAGACAGGAAGACAATGAAAGCTCTGACTCATCCTTGCTCAGGAAAGGATACTCCAATCACACTTTGACAGCTGTATTCTTTCACAACTACAGTTTTCTTCAGGTACACGCACGAGGTGTGCTCTGTTCTCTCTGTTTTTGGCTACCTAACAACACTGCTAGTTCTTCTCACGCGCTTTCAATGTTGTGTGAGCACGCCCATATGTTGTTGGGCCTTTTAACATGAACTTTTAGTTGGGCCGATAGCCCAAAATTCTTTTAGAGTCAACACACTGATTTTCGCTCGTCTTTGACTCCTTCAAAACCAACTCTTTTTTTGTCTTAAAAAATATAGGTAATTAATTTAAAACCAACTCTGATTCTACTATACGAAAAAAAAAAAGTAAATCGAAAAACTCACTCACTGATTGTTTACATAACAAGGCCACTCAACAAAATTTTGAGGACATGACCATTTAGGACATTAAAAACATCAGCAACATGTCAACAACAACAACAATAACGATGTTCCATACAAATTAGCTCTGTCGGAAATTTTATAATTTCACGACGATATAGGAAACAGAAAATATAAAGAAATTAAATGAAATCAAAGTACCAAACAAGAAAAGAAAGAAAAACCGTTTTAATTAAAGTGTTTTTGTTTCCTTAGTAAGGCTTCTCGCCAACGTAGTTACCCGGAGGGTCGTAGTTACAAGTGATGAAAACTCCAGCACCATTCTCACAGACCACACTTGCGCATCCGAGCTTTTTGGTGTCACGCCACACCATCTGAGTGTAATGACCACACATTCCACTTCCGTCACACGAGTTGGTGTTGTAGTTGTAGGAGCTGCCTTCAACGATCCATGACTGAACCGCGAATCCTGGTGCCCAGCTCGAGCCACTTCCCCAGAACAGGTTCTCACCGTATGAGCCGGTCGAGTGGGTCAATGAGCAGTCGTAACGCCTCTGGTTAGCCCACCATGTAGCGTAGCTCGCTACCTTGCCGTCCCAAACCAATGGAGGCAAACCTAATAGGAAACGAGATTCATTTCATCACCAAAATCAATAACAATAAACATTATGGCACAATAAAAAAAAGAAGATTATGCTTAAGTGTATAAATTTAAAAATAAAGGTAAACACAAATTAAAACAAAGACAACCTAAATATCTAAATTCCACTAGTCCGAAATTCAGAGATATCATACATAGCTAATAAGTTTTCTTGGTCTCTCAACTAAAAAGCTGAATCATCGTAACATTATTTTTATCTAATAAATACCTAGTCTGGACCGAAGAGAGTTATGTGGGTCAAGGAACAGTCTAGCGATTGAGCCAGCGGGTAGTCTCGGGGTAGTAGGAGGCCGATAAACAGGCCTGGGGCTCGGGCTCGGAAGTGGAACCCATGGCTTTGGGACGTAAGGGGTAGGGATAACCGGTGGTCTTGGACGGTAATAGTCTGCATGGACTGCTTGGAAAGCGACCAAGAGAAGTGAGATTGTGAAGACAATCACTTGGGTCGTCGATGAAGTGGTCGCCATCTTGGTGGTGTGACTATGAAAGATGGATTTTTGGGTGGTGAAGAGAAATGACTTTGGTGAGTGATTATATAAGTAATGATTTCATGAATTAAATAATGAATTTGGACCTTTAAGGGGATGTCAACTACATTATGGCTTCCATGTTCGATTATGGTTACCACTCTTTTTATGTTTGGCTTTGGTAAAACGGATTTTGTGGTTGATTACTTAATTGTCAATTGGGTTTTCTAATATTTTTTTTTTGGTCGTCTTTATATACATGTATATATGAACTTCTTAATTAACTAAAAGAAAATTTTAAAAAATTCTGTCTCCTTCATTTCAATTTTATAGTTATGTTTTGTTTTTTGCAACATATAACTGTGATACTTTAAAAAAAAAACAAATATAAACTTCTCCCGTTCTCCGTTATCTCATATATGTAATGAAATGTTGTGATGGAATTAAATTTGCAATGAAAATGTATCGAACAAGGAAAAGGTGATCGTCCATGATTTATTTAATGTGGATAGAATTGATCAATTTCATTAGTTTTACATGGATCGTAATATATTATTCAGCAATTAACGGATAATAGATGCAAGATTATTGAATTAAAAAAATGTAGCCGGCCTAAGAATGTTCCCCAAAAGGACCTTTTATCAAATAAATTTATTTGCAAATTTTATGATCACATTAACTAATACTCCTATAACTTTTATTATATACGAAACTACGTTTTGGTCAAATGTACAAAAATATTTTACTTTCTAGTTGAGTAGATTAGTGAATTTTAGTTTACTTTGCTTCCTTGTCATGCGACTCATGCCATGTCACTCTCGAAAACTAGTCGTACTTTTTATATGGGCCTTTAGAAATGTAAAATAGACAGGCCCATTAGTTTCTGGGTTAATTAGTTTCTAATCCATGATTTTCTGAGGAAAAAGGTAGACCAAAGCATAAGAATCTATAGAGTAAACAAAAAGGCATTCAAGTTTTCCTTAACAAGTTTGGAAATCTGGAATACTGTAATCGGACTGAATTTGAAAAATGATACCGTTAATTACAAATAAAAGTTACTCCTTGATTATAAAAATTATCAAACACTGATCAATAAAAACTCTGCAAGATTTAGCATGTAATTGTTTTATATATGGTAGAAATGTTAGTCCAGGATATAGGAAAAGCAAGTAAAATTAATAATTTACATTATTATCCACAACTCGTTACATTTTAAAAGAAATTATGAAAAATCCCCCTTTCATCCTCAACATGCTATAAGCTTATGACCATAATAATACATAATTCATCAATAATCCATCCCTATAAGTTATACATACATGTATATATGCATGATATAAATGATTAAACACTGTGGTAGCTCATCTGAGCGTAATCTTGAAGCATAACCATTCCTTCAGTCGTCTGATCAAGAACAGACGCTGATCCCCAAGAACTCGACGACGTCGTTTTCCTCTCTAGCTCCAATTCCTCCGACCACCAACTCGAACCGTTCGTTAGGTCAAACTCGTTGCCCACTTGAAGAAATTCTTTAGAACCACCTCTGTTCATAAGGTCCATGTTATGATTATCTAACCGAAGGTCCTGTGAGAAACCGAAATTAGGTTGAAATTCGTGAGCAGGGTTTAGGGATTGCTCTACGTTCTCTGAATAGAGAGGAGAGATTCCAGTGTTGATCTCAGCTAGCTTGATATGATTGTTCTGATGATCAGTGTTAAATCTTAAAGGGTGGAAGCTTTCTTGAGATGCGAGCTTAGGGTTTTGATCAGGAGTAGCTGTAGTACTCTGCAGCAAAGGGTGAAGCTTGGGCCACAAGATAGGGTTGTTGTAGAAGCTAGAGAAAGGGCTTTGTAGATTCTGAAGCTGCATGTGTAGCTGAAGCCTCTCCAGCGCCGAATTGCTCAGATTCTGAGGACTCTTGTTGTTGCTGTTGTTTTCATTAGAATCGGTACTGGAGTCTTGACGATTCATTTGTTTCTGTCTTCCAAGAAGTTTCTTTTTCAGTTTTGTGTTCCAATAATTCTTGATATCGTTGTCTGTCCTTCCAGGAAGCTGAGCTGCAATTATAGACCACCTGCGTATATCACATTGATGAGGTTACAAATAAGAAGATTAATAAGTAATTTAATGTTATCACTATAATTAAGTTCATGTTTCATAGATGTAAAGGAACAATAGGTGCCTACAAAGACACCAAAACAAGAAGAAAGAGACAATATAAACCCTAAATTTTATGAGATGCAATAGCTTGAAACATGGGCTTGCATGTGTTTCAGCATAAGATTCATAGACAAAAGGTAAAAAGACAAGAATCTCAAGTTGAAGTTTTACAGAAGTTACCTCCAATTCTGAACCAAGTGGTTTTTTATTAATTTCATTAACTAATTAATTAATACAAATCAAGAGATATAGATAGATAAATCACTTACCGGCTTCCAATGCTGATGTAAAGACTCAAGATGATACTGTCTTCTTCCTCAGAAAAGCCACCATGTTTGATGTTTGGTCTTAAGTAATTAAGCCATCTCAGTCTGCAACTCTTACCACATCTCTTCAACCCTATAATTCACAGATCGAAAGCCTCAAAATCAGAACATAACTTGATCCGATCAACTAGAATCAAAAATCAAGACAAGGGATTTATTAAATGCATCTTTTAATAAATGATATGAAATTTTCGAAAGAAGCTGAAAAATCATAAGTTTGGCTAACAAGATAGTAAAAATTAAATCAGACGCAATTAGTTATAGGATTAGAGTTTAAACTAAATTAATATTATTACCAATTTTCTGAGGAAGAGCGATCCAGTTGCCACCAGTGCCATATTTGTCGATGTAATCCTTGAGCTTCACATCTTCTTCCGGCGACCATGGCCCTTTCTTCACGTTTGCCTTGTCGCAGCATGGAGCTCTTCCCATTTTCTTACAAATCTTTTTGTCTTTCTTGTTGTTGTTGTTGTTCTTCTTCTTCCAAGTGTTATTATGTTTGATGATGATGAAATGATCTAATGATCAGAAGAGATGGTTTATAAAGACGAGAAAAAGGAGGATACGAATTGATGATTATTATAACTGAAAAAGTAAATATTAAAAAAATATATGAAGTCTTCTCCGCGTTTTAATTTTTTTTTTTCATGATTCAACTTCAACCCTAATTGTATTTTTTTCTGACTAGGGTTTTACTTTTTGGATTAGTTTTCTAAACTTTCTTTATTTATTTATTATGAAAAGGTGAAAAGTTGTATCAATTTTAATAATCATTAACGCAAAGAAAGACTTGCGTGAAATTTTGTCCAATTGCATAGCTAGCACTTTATGTATTTTAATAAATCGATCAAATTAAAGGGCAGGAAACAAACCATCGTCTTGATTTGTCGTGACTTGGGTTGAAATGTTCCCCTCAATTGCCAATCAAATGTCATCACTCATAAGTCATAATTATTTTTAATTTCTGATGCACTTCTTCGATTTGGATAATTTGCTTAAGTTCAAATATAATGATTTGAGTAAGTGAGTTTTTTTTTCTAATTATACAAATTTTCTTGACTTTCTTATGACAGAAAAATTTGGGTATAAAGCCAAGTGAGTTTTCGGAACTTGCATAATGTAAGGCCTAAGGAAGAAACTTCAAACAAGAAATATTAACTTTTAGTCTTTTACTTTCTGTGAAAAAAATTCTGATTATTGAGTACCATTACTTGACTGAAAAAAACTTGTTCTTACCAGTAGTACTGCTACTCATCAAACCTCGGAGATAATGAAAGATTGTGTATTTGGGACTCTGTTATAATTAAATACATCGTAAATTAGCAGAAATAAGACAGTAATGATCATGATTAGTACTACTAATCTATAAAACGTACGGTAGGCTAAGACAATGTGTTTCCGATCCGTAGTCTATTTTTACCAACCATGCAGTTCCATTTTAATTTGTCATACGCCTTCAAAAAAATAATTTGGGTTATTTTATAAAAAAGTAACGCGAAGTTGTTTAATAGTTTTTTTATTCTTTTCATATATGTGATTTGTTTCAGTTTTTTTAACAAATCGTGTATTTCGTATTACTCGAGTATAAGAACAACTTTTTTTTTTAATTTTCTTTTCTTTTTTCCTGTTTTTTTTTGATAAAGCAAGAAATAACTTTGTGCAACTTTGAAACTGCAGTTCGATGAAGAAGCTTCTAAAAAAATTAACAGATGATATAATATGCTGAATTGCTGAGTATGAAAATGCGTGTGCCGTAAGGAAAAACGTCGATATCGAGAAGACCATATATATATACGGTTATGACTCCTTGCAAAATAAGTTTGACTTCATCTCAACTTATAGCATTAATTTCCATGTCTATATAGGCCGTTTGTTTTTTCTCTCAATTTTGTTCTAGAAACTCTTGTTCTTTGACTTATAGTCTCTTTTACTTATATAATACACACACACACATATATATATATGTATGTATTTTTTAAAAAATATTATAAATCTGGAAATATTTAAAACTATAATCAGTTAAACAATGATAGTATATATAATTTACCATACCAAAAGAATATTTTAGTGAATTAATCAACCATTTTAACATTTTGAGGTTTGTCGCTGTTTAAGTGACTTAACATATTTGATGGAATTCTATTACGGCACTACCGTTATGTAAGTTTGACATTTTTTTTAATTTTATATATTCATTATTATGTTTTTGGTTAAAGTCATCGACCAAAGTTAATGTATTATTTTCTTGTTCAAAAAAAAAAGTAAGTGTAATATTTTGAAAGTATTTATCAACTATCATGCATATACATATGTTTTTCGGAAATTAACCAGCCCTAGCTAGATTTATTGATTACATTATTAGATATACACAAATTATTTTGCATGAATGAGGTCAACAGCGATTAGTTAAAAAAAAAAAAATACACCAATGGCTTTTCCAACCTTGCAAGAGTTACGTTTTAAAGTGAGTAAGTTCCTAGTTCCAACTATTAAAAACTAAACGGTCCATAATATAAGTATTCACAGGATTCGCCGATTCGGCAGATATAATATATATATGTATATATACATATCAAATTAATTTTGGTTTTCTAACTAAAACCTTATATCTATACGATCTTTTTCTATTTTTTCTTAAATAAATATCAGTTTCTACTTTCTGGGATTTAATTATTAATTTATTATTGCTACCAATGAGTTCTAAACTGTGGAAATTAAACTAATAGGTCCGGAGATAAAAAGAGAGAAGCTTAAATACAATAATTGATGGGAACAACCAGACAACTTACACTAATTGCTCTTGATTGATCACAAAGATATGTTGGTTGAAAATTTTAATGCATATATTCAAAAAAATAAGTATGTATATATTTCTTTTTGAAACAAGGGTTAAAATAAGTATATATTTTAATCAAAAGATTGTGATTAGTTAGTTAAAAAATCAAGTGAGATAAGGAACCACAACTAGGCAACAAAATAACAAGAGGAAACCATCAAATTTTCAAAAAGGAGCAACTAATATTCTGCATAATATAATATCCCTAGAACATAATAAAATATATTATGTATAATAGTAATAATAAAAGTTTGAAGACACCAGGAAATTCAGAGCTTTGAATAAAAGCAACGCAAATGTTTCTTGTTGTCCTTTTTCAAAGCCCTAGAATCAATGCATTTGATAAATCCCAAGCTTTAAGACATTGTTAGTGGTTAAATATATGCATATATGTATATATATTCACAATTTTTAAAGTTAATTAAAAATAATAATTATAAAGTGTCTGTAATGTTCTATGTCACGAGAGGATAAGCTTAACAAGATGTATGCGTACTTTTCTTAATTTTTTTTTTTAATCAATGCTGCTTGATATTATTTCCCAGCTAATCTTTAGATATCATATCCCCAAGGGTTGCTTAAAAATCATTGATTTCTACTCAAAATATCATTGCTAATAGCCAAATACTGGAATTGTAGCTTTGATACGAGTTATTGGAGAATGACTTAGATTTTATTGGAGAATGACTTAGATTTTACTAGCTAGCGTACAATGGTTTTCTGTATGTTTACCATTATCAAAATATAATCAAATACTGGATCCAACTAAATCTCGTATTCAGATGAATTGTTTCTATGTATATACTATTCAATAATAGGGTTAATATCAGCATGTTAGAAGTACATGATATACCAAAATATTAAACTAGTAGGGAGGGAACATACCACTAAAATATGTAAAATATCAGTCGTTAATATGACGAATTTTATAACCTAAACAAATTAAAAGTTAATGAATATTTGATATGGTTGACAAAAAAATAGATATGATAAGAAAAAATATTGATAACATTTTCACTTATATAATTCTTTTTTTGTGAATTGGCCTTTCTTTTCCTTCAAAAATCTCTGTTACTTTTCCCAACAGATAAGATTTGAGTTTGCCATTTGTATATTACAAAGAATCCTTTCTTTTTACCAACAAAAAACTAATCCAAGGAAAAGTGTTACTCATCATCACGTCACTTGGGTTGACTAACACAATACCGTACGCACTTTCGTTTGCAGTGAGACGGTAAATGATTGTTAATCTTTTATATGTACCAATCTTTTAGAAGTGATATTTCACGCATACAATTGAATCATATGCTCTTATTGGTTCATATAATTTCATTTAAGGAAAAATAATAACAACTTCGACACGTGTGGGTGTGTACGTGTGAGTTTGACCATATGAAGGAAAAGTCATTAGCGCGTGTTAGGTGTTGCATTAACTTAAGAGGGCATATTTAAACAAATCATACCGTAATGTATGTTTTTAGACATTGGTTTCTTTGATGGTGTCACGTATCCTGACCTGACACTTAACGTAAATTACTATTAATACGACTGATTTTCAAAATTCAACCATTAGTTATAATACACATATATAGTCATCAAGCTTATTATATACAATACAATACACACTTCGCTTAATTTGCATCAGTATTATATCGTATATGCATCACCTATCGGTGCTTATTTACTCTTAACAAAAAATGACAAATAAAGTTCACACAATTTCTGAATCAAAAGATGTTTGAAGAAAGTGATCGGTGTATAATTTATGCAATTATTCATTTCTACATTCTTATCAAATCTAATATTCATTTTGAAGGTCGATGGATAACACAACATTTTATTAAGTCCACGAGTTCAATGACTAGCGCAACATTTTGTATAATTTTCTTATATTAAAACTGGTAATTGGTTAGAAGGATGTTCTGTGAACAAGGAAGATACGACATCGGAGTTGATAATGTCATGCTTTAATTCTTCGCCTACTTCACTTGTTGAGTTTTATAATGACAAAGAAATTAAGAAGATCTTTGGTTCTTGGGAGGGGCTGACTTTTCTGTTCATAGAGAATAATATGTTTGTTTATTATAAGAATTAATATACAATATTTATTAATTAAGAATCAAACAAAACATTATTAAAAGTCAAACCTAATAAGTACTAACTATTTAGAGAGAGTTATAGAGAGGATTGCAGTCCTGTCAAATTTTGTTGCCATCTCTCAAGTGTGTATTTGGACCCTTTAATCAATTACCTAACCTCATCTCTATATTAACACTAATTTCTTTGTCTAATTTGTGGGTTGGGTTTGTTCGAATCTCAGGGATTTTTTGGACTAGACGACGATGTTTAAGTGAGTACTATAGGATTTTACAATTTTATAAGAAATGTTTAAACTTTAAAGTAAAAGAAAAAAGTCTAAAAGTTGATCATGTAAAAAATTCAAAACATTTATTTTTGAAGATTTTTTTTTGATAATATCCGTGTATGTAACTTCAAAATAATAACCATTTCAATAGTTATATGATTCGTCAAAGATTCGAAATCTTCTGGTTATATAAAATTCCATTTTTCCGAAATAACAAAAAATATCTTGATAAAAATACGAGCGACCTTATTGAACACAACCCACTGTTCCAACATCCTCACGCAAAGAGGGTTCGATGATTACATCTTCTGCATGGCTAATAGTAATAGTTCATTTATCCCTTCCTCGATTTTTAAGAACAAAATATTATTAATCTTCTGAACATTCAAAAAACAAAAAGAATAATCTAATGTGTACCGTTCTTCAATCACAGTTTTTATATACAAACACCAAAAATAATACCCCAATAAAGAAAAAAGAAAAATGAACCAGAGACAGATCTCAATGATCATCAAGTGCAACCAACACATTGCTTGATCATCAAAGTTCCAAATCCAAAATCCTCTAAATCCAACATATATATACCCATAAAACAACGTTTTCGTTTCACCCACAAAACGCTAGTTTTCGCGTCCCAACCGTAAAACCAAGTGGTAACTTAAAATAGGCTAACTATACTTTTTATAAAAACCAAAGTAAATAGAAGCCTCTTCGTATCTTCAAGAACACTGCACCATCACCATCTTCATCATCATCATCATCATCATCTTTATTCTTCTTCTTCTTTTAGTTATTTATTTAAGATTCATAGCAGCAGCCATATTCCTGAGCTTCTGTGATATATCAGCAAAGGATGGTCTCTCTGTTGGCTCAGATGCCCAGCAACTTTCCATCAATCCCTTCCATTCTGGATCACACCACTGTGGGATTTTCGGACGCAATGTATTATTCACTATACCTCCTGTCATACAAAACACCAATCTATTTGTCATGAATCTATTATTCGCAAGTACGTATATTAAAGATCAGCAACTAAGTTTCAGTTGATTTACCAATTATGGAAGCACAATGCATATCTGCGTAAGGTTCTTCACCAGTGAGCAATTCCCACATTACAATCCCAAACGAGTAAACATCGATCTAGTTGAGAGAAACAATCTTCGGTTAGTGTCTGTGCGACTGATGAAAAGCTGCAGACTTTTTTAAGAAATTAGTTACCTTTTCAGAGACCATGTTGCTTTTGCCACTCAAAAGCTCAGGTGCCATCCATGGCAACGTACCGCGAACACCTCCAGACACTAAAGTCTTCTGTTTCACCTTCGATAACCCCAAATCACCAATCTGTAAAGAGATAGGGATTTATTAGAAATATATAAGTCTGTTCCTCATATATATGGGAGAAGATGAGCCAAAACTAACCTTGCATACAGGACGCTGAGGATCTCTCATGTTCACAAGAAGATTCTCGCATTTCAAATCGAAATGAACTATGTTCTTTCCATGCAAATATTCCATCCCAAATGCAGTATCCATGGCTATGATGAGTCTTTTGCGACGATCAATAGTTCTGGAGGAAACAACCAATGTGATGTCAGACATTTGAGTCCTCCATCAAACTAGTATATATATGATGCATGAATATTCGTGAATCTTCTTACCTGTCTTTCTTCTGCAAGAACTGTTTCAAAGATCCGTTAACCATGAACTCGGCGACAGTTGCTAGAGAACCATCAGGACCATCACGAACTATCCCATAGAAAGACACAACGTTTGGGTGATGCAATGAGCTCAATAACAGAGCTTCTTTCCAAAAATCTTCTATCTGTAACAGCAGAAAAGGAGTAAGGAGAATAATACTGGAGTTCACGTTGATGAAACTGTTAAAAGTCAATTGACAATAATGGGATTTAATTTTACCAAACGTTCCCTTTCAGAAGGTTTGCCTGCAAAGCAACTGGCTTTTATTCTCTTTATTGCAACATCTGAGCCTTTCCATTTTCCATGGTAAACAGATCCATATGTTCCAGAACCTAACTCTCGGATCTCCTCCAGATCATCGTTTCTTATAGTCTAAACGAAGAACCAAGATAGTAAAAGTCATTAGAACTAAAAATGAGCAACTAAAAAAGATTCACCAGAAATTTTGTTTGGTTTCAGAATTCTATAAGTCAGGTTTTTAAGAACAAAGTGAATTTATACAAAACCTGTAGTCCCCTGGATAGAGCTTCAGCCTCAGCCTTTGTAGGTTCAATCTTGAAAATGTTTGGATTATCGCTATCAGAATCCATCTCAGGTTCAACTTGAGCATTCTGAAAAAGAAAAAGTTGTTACAGAATTAAAATCAGAAGAAAGGAACACACCATAAGCCCCTCATAACAAGTAAACATCTCATAATACTCACCACATGCTCTGATTCGTTTTCCACCAACTCCGCTCTCACATGATCGTTGGCTTCTTCTGGATGAGCTTTGACCTCAGCAGCTCCTTCAAGTGCCGCCCTCTTCACAGATTCCATTAACTCAGGCAAGAAACTCAAATTTTCAACTGAAAGCTCCTCCCCATCAGGAAGAGCAGCAGAAGGACTACCTTCTACTATAACATTCTTTCCTTCAGCTAAGGGCTGAGGCTTATCTAGGCAGGGAACACCGTCTGAAGCACCAGTATCAACAACATAGTTAAACTGTTCACCTACGTGGGAAACCTTGCTTTCCACCGGCCTCACCACTTCAACACAATCTTGTGCCTGCGTCATTGGTGCCGCATTGAGGTTTGTCTGTAGCAAGGGCCCTGACAAATGCTTCAGCCCCTGTATATATTCGTTATGCACAGCCGGGTTTTCAGATGGCACCCAATTTGGTTCCAAAGGGAAGGATCTATCTTGCAAATGAGGATTAGGGTAGTAAGGCTGCCCAGGAGAAGACATTCCATCAAAGCCTGAAACGTTCTGCGGAGAACCCACCAAGACACTTTGATTCTCCACTCCAATAGAATATCGAGAAGCGCTGTCTATCGGATTCCTGATAACAGTCTGATTGGCTGTGCCATTGACTTGCTGCATAGGCAAGCCTGGAGGACCAACTATATGGTTTGAAACGTTCTGCCAAATATTTTGTTGCGGGTGCATGTGGCTAAGACTTGCTGAGTGAATACTATCAGGTCCTGGAGCATAGAGATTATTCCCATAATGAAACCCACGTTCCTCAGCAGAAGGGTTGGACGAGTTCAAAGGAATGCCACCAAGAGGTTTGTCATGAAACCCTTCATTGGAAATTTCAGGTCCAGCTCGATAGCCAAGAGGATAGTTCATTCCAGGACCATCAAGAGTGTAATGATCACTTGGTCTTCCAACATTTGATATATGCGGCCTCCCTTCCTCAACTCGTGGAGGATTAGGATTCACCTGTTGTTGAACCATCCATCCTCTTTCATGTCCGAAAGTCTCATTATGATAAGCTCCGTGAGGAGTAGGAGGCTTTGGGTCTGCGTTAACCAGGAAAGTTTCTCTGTTGGGTGGACACTGTGCACAACGAGCCGAAGGAACCTGTGGAAATCCATTATTGCCAACATTAGGCTGCTCAAACGGCTGATGGTTCCTATGAAACGGTACACGACAGCTCTCGCATATATTACCCCCTTCATAGCCACCTTGACCACCGTGAAGCACGTTCCCCGGAAAACCGCCTTTACTCTCAAGTGGCATTGCTCCAGCTGGGACCCAGACCACACTGTCAGGAACTTGTGCCTGGTGCTCATATAAAGGATGATGACTTGCTTGCGACTGCCTCACATAATCATCAGGCATTCTGTCAAACCCTTTATCAGGAACTTCCCCATATGGCATTCGATAACGAGCAGAGGAAGGCGAAGATGGGAACTCCTGAAAAGCTCTGGGATCGTGGTGACCATGGTGCCGAGGAGAATAGTAAGGACTCCATGTACCTTCTACTTCACCATACCTCGGTGCAATCATCTGCCCCGAACCAACACGAGGGATCCTGAGCTGGTGAAGATTACTATACTGCGCAACGGGTATCTCGTTGCTCCTCTGGCTACCACCGCCAGACTCGATGTTAAGCTGGTTCATCATCGGCTCCACCATCGAAAACTCGTCAATCGGATTGTAACGAGGCGAATCAGGATGCTGCTGCTGCAGCTTCCTGAAGTCTGTCCCTTCGATCAAATTGTTGAGAGCATCAACGTATCTCCTCTCGGATTCCCTCTGATCATCGTAATGGGAAGAACCATCCTGCTCAGGAGACGAAAACAGAAAGATCCTAAGCCTAGTAAACCCATCCCCTGAGCCTAACTTATCATACTCCTCCATCATGTTCGTCACATCGTCATCGTTCACAACCGAAACCAGAGCATCGAGATCCTCATCAGGCTGCTGATACTTCAGAACCGCCGCACCGTCGTAAAGCTCCCGCATCTTGCTCATCAGCTCTTCGTACCTAATATCTCTCGTCACGCTCACAATCCTCGTCTCTCCACCTACATACCTCAACTTCCCGTCCTGAGGACGAGGCAATATGCTGCCCAAGAAGCTACAGAGGAATTTCACCCGATGCGGCTCGTCGTTCGAGCTAGAGACTGGGCTAGTGGCGGAGGATGAGTTCACAGAACCGGAATCCATGGCGGATCTGCTCACAATCTGATTATCGATATCCTTGTGTTCTTGATCAACAGCTTCGTTATTGCACATGGGAATTCAAATCCGCTGATACGTACTTCTTCGATTTCTCGATTTCGTACCAAATCTCGAGACAATAAAACTTGGCAGTCGTTCGCTGGCGATAACAGTTGAAACGATTCTCCATTTACAAGGCTGCGGACGAATCGTCGCAAAGCATCAGCACTTCCCTGGGAAAAAAAACGACATGCAATAGACGAATCAATCCAAAAGATATTTGATGAACAAACGTACTCAAAGATCATCAGTAGAATATCATCACAAATCAATTACCTCCAAATCTCGGAGGAAATCAGAAACCCTCGATTCAAAAATGCCTGATTTCTTCAAAACACGGACGGGAATCAAAATCACCACCACCGATTCCGCACTCTGGGTCTTTATTTGAATGACTCAATACGAAATCTGAATCGATTAGAGAGAAAACCCAGAAGAGAGAGTTTTAGAGTGGGAAAAATTCGTGTGATTTCGATTAAACAGAGGGAGAAGAATAATTGAGAAAGAGCGGCGACGACAGAGGTTTTCTTGGTTTGATTTGATGAGAAAATAAAAAAAAAAAAATTATAAAAATACAAAAATCTTCTAATTTTGTGTGTTTTTTGTTTTCTGGGATTTTTTTGTTTTGTTTTTGGGGCTAGAGAAACTAGAAGATGCGATGCTTCTGTACCGCCAGGTAGCGATACACGTGGCGGTTTCTCGCTTTTTTTTTAAATAAAAGTTTAAAGTTTGAAGAAGTATTTAAATCTCTCCCACGGCATGGCGTATATCAACTGGGGCATATGCTTCTTCCTCGTCCGCAGATTCCTTGTGCCCACCGCCACTGCGCGTGTTCTTCACCCGCATTTATTCTTTATATTTATTCCAAGAATAATTAACTATTAGTAGAGTATTATGTAAATCGATCCGGTGAGACGAATTTACGTTTTCCTTCGCATTTGAATTAATTAATACATTCGTGTACATAGAAAACACCTCAAATACTAGTTTTTTGACAATCGAATAATATAGTAGAGGAAGTAACTACAGTTTAGCCGCTGACGCTGTTATTTCAGTTCACCAAAACTTTTTTCAGTTTCACGTGAGACTTTGCGTGGGACAAATCTGCATCACGTGCTATCCAATCATATAGTGACAGTTGGCACATCTTTCAAGGCAACTTTTAATCAATTAGCGGAGTTGTTGTTGTCGGATTCGAATTCCTTGGCTATTTTCATCACCATTCAAATTTGTTTAATATCTTATATGGTACTCATTAGCTAAACTAAAGATAAATTATGAGAACAAATCATGTATAACCTCGCCATGTTTCACACAAGTAAGACAGTTTTCTAATAATTTCATAGACATTTATATATGATAAGAAGTAGAACCATGGACTCAAATTTTAAACAATCTATGATTTAGTTTCCTTTATAAAAAGGATCATAAAAGTGTTGGACAGAACTACAAGGAACATGTGTATTGGAGAATATGAACCCATATATGTAATTACCATATGTTTATGTGTAGTTTAGTAATTACCATATTATTCATTAGGGTTCTCGATATGTATATAAGGCACAGCCTTTGTGTTTACAGAATAAGAAAACTCTTAATACCATTCTAGTTTTCTTGACATAGTATCAGAGCAATAACCTATAAACTTTAGGTTTTTCGATCTCTCTTACTATCTATATTGTTTTTTTAATCTTCTTTTCTTTGACCTTAAGTCTTACGATCATTCTGTCGTAATACTTCTCTAAAATTTGATCATGGCTACCGGTGAATCTGGTGGCGTTAAAGATGGCTCATCGTTTGTTTCTCCGCAAACTAGGGTTCGTACGGAGACCTCGCGTCGACAGATTGACCCTTATGATCTATCTTCCGGAAATAATCCTGGATCAATCATCTCTCAACCTCAACTTCGGGGTCCGAATTATGATGAATGGGCTTTGAATCTTCGCTTGGCGTTACGAACAAGGAAGAAATTTGGATTTGCCGATGGTAGTATACCGATACCTTCTGCAGATTCCGAAGATCTGAAAGATTGGTGGGCTAACAATGCGATGGTTGTATCTTGGATTAAGCTAACAATCGCCCCTGATCTCAGTAGCTCGTTATCACATCATGAGATTGCGTTTGATTTATGGACTCAAATTCCGTTCTAGTTTTCTTGACAATGTGCAGGAGCAGATGAAATCATCTCTAAGCAAGACGAGTTTACTTAATACACAAAATTAATCATATTAATCACATAATTTCTATGATTGCTGATCTATATAATGAACGTTTATACATTATTTTTTTTATAAACTAACGCTTTTTGTACATTTACAAGCCAGCACACACAAAAATTTGATTTTTATACTCATTGTATCTTAGACTTGCGTCTAGCTAAACAACGACACTGACTGATGGTATAGAAAACGAAAATACCGGTACGTTAACATTTTAACAAAAAATGAAAAAAAATTCTTTTACCTTTTACAGCTTTACCAGATTGGTAAGTAAAACACAGATGTAAAGAAAACTCTTGAGTCCAGCCCATTAATTTAATTTTGGGCCCAATAGTTGATTCTGGGAGACAAAAAGGAGTCAATAACCAAATATACCAACTTTGCCCTGGCGAACCACCAACGACAATTTCTAGCAGGCTCACTTCCCACTCTAAAGTCTCCTATCTCCGTTCACTTCAGTTTCCCACCGATAATGTTTCCCGTAACCGCCGCTCTTCTCCGCCACCGTCTCCGGCACTTGCGCCGCCACATTAGGTTTAGCTCAACAGCTGTTTCTCCTTCTCAATCTTTCCATTTACCGCTCAACCACCCTACCTACTTGGTTTGGTCAGCCAACACTTCTCTCGGCAAAACCCTCGTCTCTACCGGCATCGCCGCCTCCTTCCTCCTCCAGCCTTCTTGTTCCGCCTCACATTTCTCGAAACTACTCTATTTGAAACCAACACAGACTGGCTTCCCTTCTGATTCCGATTCTCGTTTCGTCTTCTCCAAGCTCAATTCACTCTCCCTCCGTCGCCGGATTCCTCTTTCCACATCCAACTATGTACTCCGTTCTTCATTCCCTGCTGTAGAATCCATGGGACGAATTTTTGAAGTCGGCGAGACTGGGATGTGCGATTTGAATTTCTGCGAAGAGAAGATTGTCACAGGCGCGCCGGAACTCTTGTGCAAGACGCTGTATGCTTGGGAGGCGGCAATCTCGCCGCATTTAGCAGCGGAGAGGGAAAACGCACGGGTTGAGGACTCCGCCGTGCTACGGATGGTGGAGCAATGTTTGACGGAAGAGATGGAGTGTGGAACCGAGGAAACGAATGTTCTATGTTTGGTGGAGACTGCCGGTGGAGTTGCCAGTCCTGGGCCGTCGGGAACTCTTCAGTGTGATCTCTACAGGTAAAGCTTATCTTCTGCTTCGAAATTACCTGTGAGATTGAATTTGCATTATATCTTACTCATGTTAGTTTTATTTTTCTGAGATTAGGCCTTTTAGATTGCCCGGAATTCTCGTCGGAGACGGTAGGCTCGGTGGTATCTCGGGGACAATTGCAGCATACGAGAGTTTAAAACTTCGAGGATACGACGTTGCTGCTGTCGTTTTTGAGGATCATGGCCTTGTTAACGAAGTTCCATTAACATCATATCTACGGAATAAGTAATTTTCAGTGGCTTTTTAGTTTGCTTTCGATGTATGTGTGTTCTTTATTGATTAGAGGCTCATACTTTTACTTTTGCTATTCTTGTATGAACACTTATAGGGTGCCTGTGCTCGTGCTTCCGCCTGTTCCCAAAGACCCTTCAGATGATCTTATTGAATGGTTTGTAGAGTCTGATGATGTGTTTAAAGCATTGAAAGAGACAATGGTGTCAGCTTATCTGGAGAGAGTAGAGAGATTAAACGGCATGGCAAAGCAAGCAGGAGAGGTTTTCTGGTGGCCATTTACTCAGCACAAACTTGTGCCTGAAGAGACTGTGACGGTTATAGACTCCCGATGTGGTGAAAACTTTACAGTATACAAGGTTTGTATGAGAAGATCCTTAATCATTTTGACATGTTCCACATTTTGGGCTCATGTAGTTAGTATAGTCCATAAGCAAGATGATTACCTGGAAGGCAGGAACTAATGAAACTTTTGTCTGTATTCATATCTAGGCTTCCGATAACAATTCCCTTACCCAGCAATTTGATGCTTGTGCAAGCTGGTGGACACAGGGGCCAGATCCGGCTTTCCAGGTCATCAGTGCTCACTATATCCCAGATTTTATGATATATATTAGTTCCTATTTCGTTATGACGTCATGAATCTTAGTGTGTATCTTTCTTTGTGATGACTCTTCTGAAGTTTATTTTGAACTTTTGTCTAGGCTGTTTCAGGCTGAGCTTGCTAGAGAAATGGGTTACACTGCTGCTAGGTTCGGGCATGTTATGTTCCCAGAGAATGTATATGAACCTGCCTTGAAATGTGCTGAGCTCTTATTAGATGGAGTTGGAAAAGGTGTCTAAACTTGTTCTGTCACATTGTTTCTACTTTCAAACATTGGGGGAAGTGCTAATTAGTTTATGCATGCAGGCTGGGCTTCTCGAGTATACTTTTCAGATAATGGATCCACAGCAATTGAAATTGCCCTAAAGATGGCATTTCGTAAGTTTTGTGTTGATCATGGGACGCTACTAAATTTTTCTGAATCCACTGAAGAGGAAAACCATATCGTGGTTAAGGTACATTCATCTTGACAAATACGCAAGATTATCTTCATTTATGTAGTTTTGTCATTTGTGTTTTGGGTTCCAAAGTGAAAAAAATGATGTGTGTTCTATTTCAGGTCCTAGCTCTTCGGGGGTCGTACCATGGGGATACTCTAGGAGCGATGGAAGCACAAGCACCAACACCTTATACAGGCTTCCTCCAGCAGCCGTGGTAATGACAAATTTCTGTAGAGTTTTGCTTGCAACATTCATCTTCCAAAATGAAACATTCTTGGATCATCTGCACCAATGTCTGTAAGACAGACTGTAACTGCGTATAAATTAGCATGTATGTGTAACTGCAAAGTAACCAACTCTTTTTGTTGCTTAGATAGAACTTAATCATGATTACATCTACATGTCAGGACAATCATCTTCATTTGATCACGTCTTACGTACCCAAATTTACCTTGAGCTAGCATTCATTATCTTGTCATTCTCAGCTTGCCCATTGATGAAGCTCGCATCTATGTTTGGATTGTAGGTATACTGGAAGAGGCCTGTTTCTAGACCCTCCTACTGTCTTTCTATCAAACGGAGCGTGGAGACTCTCTCTCCCTGAAAGCTTTCCTCAAACTGCTTCAGAAGAATGTGGAAGTAAATACCATCTTTTCCCCTCTGCGCCATTCAACAGTTCCTATACATTTCCTTTAGCTGTATGATTAAGTTTTTCCCAAAACTCTTACAGCCTTCACCACTCGTGATGAGATTTTCGACAAGGGCAGAGACGCATCGAGTCTTGCAGCAATCTATTCGGCGTATGTATCAGAGCAGTTACAAGAGTGTTCTGGAGTTATGCAATCTGCCCATGTTGCAGCACTGATAATAGAACCCGGTATGATAGTATATTCACCAATGTTGACTTTTAATAGTTTAGCATTCTTGGTCTTTCTATGTAGATTGGTAGATTCAAACTACTCTTCTTATCTGCAGTGATTCATGGTGCTGGAGGAATGCACATGGTTGATCCACTTTTCCAACGAGTTCTGGTCTATGAATGCCGGAATAGAAAAATTCCAGTCATTTTCGATGAAGTGTTCACAGGTTTCTGGCGTCTTGGAGTAGAGGTAGTGAAACTGCGACTATATTTTATCATCAGTTTGTTATATATTTCTGTTACCATTTACATTCTGCTAACAAAATTACCATGGTTTTTACCAAGACTACTGCTGAGCTTCTCGGTTGCAAACCGGACATAGCTTGCTTCGCCAAATTGATGACTGGTGGAATGGTTCCTTTAGCTGTCACTCTTGCCACAGAGGCAGTGTTCGATTCGTTCTCTGGAGATTCTAAGGTAAAACGAAAGTAGAAGGCTCACTCTAATCAAAATCATCTTCATGCATTTACAGTATGTGATTCCGCTTGAAACCATCTAAGTTTGGGTTACTGGTTGTAGCTTAAAGCCCTGCTTCATGGTCACTCATACTCAGCTCATGCTATGGGTTGCGCAACAGCCGCCAAAGCCATCGAATGGTTCAAAGATCCAGAGACTAACCATAACATCACTTCACAAGGAGGAACCTTAAGAGAGGTACTAAGACATTCCTATTCTCTAATTCACCATACAGTATACGCGAATCCAGGCGCAAGTATTATCAATATGTAATCAATCGTACACGCTTTTTTTTTTTGCAGCTGTGGGACGAAGAACTGGTGCAACAGATATCATCTCACTCTGCAGTACAAAGGGTTGTTGTATTAGGAACCCTTTTCGCTCTAGAACTAAAAGTAGATGCTTCAAATTCCGGGTAATCTATCTACCAAAGCTCTCAAATAACATAGTCTTGTTCTCTTGGAACTTTTTTTTATCATTAGCTTTATTGATTTGAACAACAAACTTTGGTATGTATCTGATGATTTCGTTTTGCTCTGCGTGTTTCAGGTATGCTTCGTTGTATGCAAAGTCACTTCTAGAGATGCTCCGGGAAGACGGAATCTTCATGCGCCCTCTCGGAAACGTCGTATACCTCATGTGTGGCCCTTGCACGTCGCCGGAAATTTGCCGGCGGTTGCTCACTAAGCTCCACAAAAGGCTCGGAGAATTCAATAGAGCATGATGATGAACTCAAAGCACCTCGTCTCTGTTTTCGTTGCGAATTAATGACTTTGGAGTCTAAATTTTTTTATTGGTAGGTAAATCTATGAGATTCTTTTCTTCTGCTTGAGATCTAATCGAATCTGGAAATTTAATAAAGAAATTGAGTATCAAATTTAATGCTAGATCACTAGGTCAGTTTTAATGGGCAAAAATGCTTCGAAGAAAAAAAAAACGTTCAAAAAACCAAAGATGCTTTGAAAAAGTGTAACCAGAGAGTCCGACATGGAACCGACGGATGCGATTCATTGCCCGACTGGTGAATAATTTTCTAACGACCACTATTTTTCCTAGTGGGCCCCACACAGACGTTTTTAGTTATTTTAACTAAAAACGACAATCATAACATCACGATAGAAACGTAGACCTTAATGCAGTAGATCACATCCCACTAGTTGGCACTGCAAAGCTCTCTCAATGAGTATTGAGAGTCGCCATAGTTGACTTGACCGATTAAATCCGAAATCATCGAGAAGACCAAAACAGAGGACTGTTCCAAACCTCTCAAGCAAAAACCACTTCCGTTCACGACTAATCTTCATTTCAATTCGGCGCCGGCGGTTTTAAATCGGCGGGATACAGCTACTCTCTGATTTCGCCGACTCGATCAAAAAGGTACTTTCTTCTTACTTGTCTCTTTTTATCGTTTGGTTTTTTCTCTTCAATTTGGTCGCCGGGAGAGCCTAAAGTCTTCTCCGATCTCCAACGTGAGTTTTGAGTTCGAGATTTTAGTTAAATCGAAATTAAGGATTCGTTTGTTAATGCGAAGTGGGTCATTCTCGAGCGTGTTTGGCTTTATAGACTTTTTGAGCTATTGAAGATTTTAATTGAGTGGCTTTCGTGGTTCGCAGATCTAGGAAATTAGGGGGACTTTTTTTTTTTTTCAATCATCTAGAGTTTGGAGAAATGCAGAAGTAGAGAATGGATAGAGGTAATAATATGAACAGAGCGAAGAGGAATTTGGATGGGAGCAACGATGATGATCAGCCTGAGCGAAAGCGTCCTGCTCTCGCTAGGTAATTTCTCCTCCTCCTTCCCGCAATTGATCCGACTGAAATCTACTGAAAGTTTCTTACGTTGTGTGATTTCACCCTTTGTGCCAGTGTGATTGTAGAGGCTCTGAAAGTAGACAGTCTGCAGAAGCTATGCTCGTCTTTGGAACCTATTCTCCGCCGAGTTGTAAGATCTCTCTTGCTTTTTTGCTCTCTGGAGATCATTTTACTCTGCTTTTGTTGTGTACACTGTTGTAACTCAATCTTTACCTGCTATGGATCTGTGTTCTTATGTAGAATGATATGTTGTATGCATTTGCTTAGAAAATAGCTATCCTTTGTTAAAGCCTTAATGTGGGATTGTTGCTGAGCAGGTCAGTGAGGAAGTGGAACGTGCTTTGGCGAAATTAGGCCCTGCTAGGCTTACTGGAAGGTAAAAATCGATATTGTGACATGTTCTTCAACGTTAGGTTACAGTTTAGCTGAAGTTTTAAATATTACTTTAGCAGTTCCGGGTCTTCTCCAAAGAGAATCGAAGGTCCCGATGGCCGGAACTTACGGTTGCAGTTCAGGTCTAGGTTGTCTCTCCCTTTATTCACAGGAGGGAGAGTAGAAGGAGAGCAGGGTGCTGCGATTCATGTCGTTTTAATCGATGCAAACACTGGGCGTGCCGTGGTATATGGTCCAGAGGCTTCGGCGAAGCTTGAGGTTGTTGTGCTTGAAGGTGACTTCAACAGTGAAGATGATGAAGACTGGACCCGGGAAGAATTCGAAGGCCATGTCGTGAGAGAGCGTCAAGGGAAGAGACCGTTGCTTACTGGAGATCTGTTTGTTACTCTCAAGGAAGGGGTTGGAACTTTGGGCGAGCTGGTTTTCACGGATAACTCGAGTTGGATTCGGAGTAGGAAGTTTAGACTCGGTTTACGGGTTGCTTCTGGGAGTTGTGATGGCATGCGCATACGTGAGGCCAAGACGGAAGCTTTTCTTGTTAAAGATCACAGGGGAGAATGTATGTTCTTTAAAGTTAACATTTTTTTGTTCTGCTCAGTGTACCATGTGGTGTTACTTCTTTTAGGGTGATGCTGCATTTTGTTTATGTGCAGTGTACAAGAAGCACTATCCACCTGCTTTGAATGATGACGTGTGGAGGTTGGAGAAGATTGGTAAGGATGGGGCATTCCATAAAAAGCTTCATGCTGCAGGAATAGTCACTGTAGAAGAGTTTCTGAGAATAATGGTCAGGGATTCTGGAAGATTACGTGCTGTAAGTGCTTATTATCTCAAGTGTTCTTGCTCGTGAAAGAGACACTGTTCGTTAGATTTACGCCATGGCTAATTTTTATCTTTATCCTTGTTTGGCTCTAAGATTCTTGGAAGTGGAATGTCAAACAAAATGTGGGATGCACTAGTGGAGCACGCAAAGACGTGTGTCCTGAGCGGTAAGCTTTATATCTACTACGCCGAGGATTCAAGGAATGTCGGCGTTGTGTTCAATAATATCTATGAGCTAAGTGGTCTCATTTCCGGGGACCAATACTTCTCTGCTGATTCACTTACTGAAAGCCAAAAGGTTTGCTGCATGTTCCTTAACTTATAACACCATTCTTTGTTTTGTTACTTGCGACTTATGATTTAGTTAAAGCTATGGTTCACTATCTTCTTCTATATAGTGTTAAGGTTAATAAGCTGTGTTTTCACTATCTTCTGTATAGATTAATAAAAAGTTAACTAAATGTTGTTTGAACTGCATTCTTCTCAAACCACTGAAAGAAGAGACATATTAAATTTGATTATGCCTTTCACGTCTGTGTTCCTGAAGGTGTATGTCGATGGGCTGGTGAAGAAAGCATATGAAAACTGGAACCTAGTCATAGAGTATGATGGAAAATCTCTCCTAGACTTGAAGCAGCCTAAGAGGTTGAGTATTACTCAAACTGATCCGGTCAATTACTCAACTGCTGCCATTGACCATCCAATGCAGATGGCAGGGCATTCATCCTCACTCCCGGCTAATCAATCTCATTCAGATTTTGCTATTGGAGGTCTGCGAATTGCAATCTCTCTCTCTCTCTCTCTTGCAAATTTGTAATAATAGTAAGTTACTAAATCTTACAAGTTTGTTCAATTCTTTGCAGGGTATGATCAAACTATGGTGACGAGGTATCCTCCACAGCCTCAGCTTTTGAACTCCAACCCAAGATCACACTTTGAGGTTACTTCGGGTACTACAGCGCAGGACCAGCTCATGGGGAATGTACATCAAAGTCAAAGCACCATGAACAGTCAGAACGTTACTGGTCTGCTTGCCCTCGGTCCTCCACAGTCATCCACGGCCGGATACCAAAACAACATCGACTCTTCTTCTGTTCACCAGGCGAATCTCAATCCTTTCGAAGACTGGTCAAACCAACGCGAGAGAGGAGCAGAAGATTTCTTCTCGGAGGAAGAGATCCGACTCAGAAGCCATGAGATGCTGGAGAACGAAGACATGCAACAGTTCCTCCGCCTATTCAGCATGGGAGGAGGAGGCAATGCCTCTGCAACGCATTTGCCAGAAGATGGATATACTTTCCCGTCGTTTCTACACACGCCTATGCAAGGCTATGATGAAGACCGTGGTCGATCAGGGAGAGCTGTTGTCGGTTGGCTTAAGATAAAGGCAGCGATGAGATGGGGTTTCTTCATCAGGAGGAAAGCCGCTGAGAGGCGAGCACAGATTGTAGAGCTCGATGATGATGATGAAGAATAGTCTGGTCTTGCTTTGTCATGATCATACCCTCATAATGGGAAACAACACTGTTCGAGTCATGAAAACTGAAGCTTAATGGACACGAGGCAGCAGCGAGGATGGAGGTGAAGTGGCCCAGGTTTTGTAAAACAAGTGTATAGTTAGATTCAGTGGATGTGTGTTTTAAAGAAGCAGGGAGACTTCTAATATGCTTGATTGACTCAAAAATACTTTAGCATTAAGAACTGATTCTGCAGTCTTAGGATAAATGATTCCAACAAGTAGAATTTGTCCTGTCTTTTTTTATTTGATACTTGAGTTGCTATCTGTAAGGCTTGTGTTCCACGAAACATCAGAGTCATGTATATTTGATTCTTGCTTGATTACTGTTTGGTTGTGTTCTGAGATTTTGTTTTAAACCATCGTACCAAAAGTTTATGCTACTTGACATTGATGTTTCTGAGTTTTGTATAAAATCAAGTGTAAAATTAAAAGTCAATGGATGATTTTCAAAGAAGCAAGGAGACTTCTAATATGCTTGATTGACTCATTCAGATATAAGCATTCTTATAACCGATTTTGAAGTCTTAGATATATAATTCAACAAGTATAATGTGTGTCTAATAGCCATCTTTTTTCTTATATGTTGTTATTTTGAATGTGGTTTAACCCACATCTCTTCACTCCTCTTTACATAGAAGAATTATTGGAAAAAACGATCATGATAAATAATATGAAGAAGAGAGTAATTAATGATCCATCTCTAGCACTTTCTCTAACACTCTTGAGTATTGGGAGACCAGATTCCCAATGAAGTCGTACAGTAAAAAAAATTATTAAATTAATTGTACGGTTATCGTATAACATTAATTTGGTTATGAGCAAAAATTAAATTGGTCAAAGTTTTTTTGTTTCAATAAAAATTGGTCAAAGTTAGTCTTTAAAATTAACCCACATTTTTTCTGAAACTACCATATGATATAAAATTAATTTATTAATTGAAAAAAAAAAAAAAAACTAAGACAAACTGGGATACTTTCCTTCAGTATGGTCCTGGACTAAAAATTGGTATAAGTTTCGTTCATACACCAACTTGAAACCTGGTCTATTACATACCTCAATTTAAAAGTTTTGTTATTTCAAACACAAACTAAAGAAAATTATATAATCTATACATTGATCTTAATACTTTGAGATCAAAAACAGTTTGATTTCCATGTTCAATGATATAGTTTATTTGGATGACATGGATAAACTAAAGAAAATTTGAAAATTTGTATTTAAATGGTTGACTAATGTATAGATTATATGTTTTTTTAGATTGTATATGAGTAAACAAAAAAATTAGTTGAGGTCTGTAATAAACCAAGTTTTAAGTTGGTGTATGAATTGAGCTTAATACCAACGTTGGTATATAAAAAAAACGATTGTATCTTTATATGCCATTTACAAATGTTATGAGAAAAAATTATGAATGTTATTAGGAAAAATTGTGCAATATATTTTTTATGTAAATGTATATAAGTTGTTATTTATAAGATATAATTATATTTTAAAGGTTGAATTTTTGATAAAGTTAATTGATTTATAAATTTTTGATCCTCCCTACTCTCCTCTTGGTAGCAGTCTCTTTGTTTCTTCATTTTCAGATCATTTGTCAAGATACTCGAAATGAACAATATCAACATAGTTGGTGATCACTCTGACGCTGGTATAGGCTTCAGTGGAACGGAGTTGGTGATCACCCTGATGCTGGTATAGCATTCAGAGGCACGGAGAAGGGAGAAGACAAGTGAGAGTCAGGTTGATAATTAAGTGAGATATGTTCGCATCTCATTGTATCTTTATATTTGCAGTGTTGATGTGTTTATTTGTAATTTGTTTTCTTATTTCAGTAGTTTATGTATAGTATCATACTCGTTTTGTGAAAGTTATCAATTAATCTAAAATCTTTTTTTTATGTTAAGCATCACCATTATTAGTACCTTCCTGTGAAGTATTGATATCTATCAACACAACACAAGTATTAGCAGTCAAAATAATAATGAAATATTAAGATAATTTTACGTCTAATCTACATATTTAAATAACAGTGATAAATTTACATTATTCTAGTTAACTGTTTTGTTTGTTTTGTCAACTTTCTAATTAACTTTTTTAAACAAACACTTTTTCTTTCTTTTTTCTAACAGGATCATCGGTTCTTTATTAGAGGAATACTATTTTTCCTGTCCAATTCGGTCCAAGCCGCTGGTGTATAGTCTATAGAGTATCCAACTCTCAAATCCAACTTTTTTTTTTGTTAATAGCAAAACTCTCAATGTACAGTTAAATTTGACATACCAAAAAGTGAAAATATTATTATCTAGATAAAAAGAATGAATAAAATAAAACATTACAAAGCCAATTGAAAACAGCTTTTACTACAAGATGGTCCAATCTCAATCTCCAGCTGTTGCTTTATAAACGCGGCTTCCTCTTTCACCATACGAACCTTCTTCTTTCGTACACAAGGCAAAGGAGACAAGGAACAGCAGTTCAAGCTCTGGTTCGACCCAACAGCTGATTTCCACACTTACACCATTCTGTGGAACCCTCAACGAATCATATTCACCGTCGATGGAACTCCGATTAGAGAATTCAAAAACATGGAATCTGTAGGCACTCTGTTTCCCAAGAACCGACCAATGAGAATGTACTCTAGTCTCTGGAACGCCGACGATTGATAGGTGGCTTGGTCAAAACCGATTGGTCTAAAGCTCCTTTCACTGCCTCGTGCCGTGGCTTCAACGAAGAAGCTTGTGTTTGGTCAAACGGCAAGTCTTCTTGTCCTAATGGCTCGAAACAGGGGACTAGTGGCTCGTGGCTGACGCAGCAGCTTGACTCTATTGCTCAAGAGAGGATGAGATGGGTGCAGAAGAACTATATGATCTATAATTACTGTACGGATTCGAAGACGTTCCCTCAAGGTCTTCCTAAAGAGTGCTTAGCTGCGTAGAGAGTAGAGAGTTAGAGAGGAAGTGAGGAACACAATTCTAATTTTTTCTCTGTTGTTGTAAAATTCTATTCATTTTACTGTAGATCACATTTGCAGTATAACTAATTCCTCTCTCTTACGTTTTATATGGAGACAAAATGTATATGAAAACCCTTGTTTGCAATTATTATTTAACCATAAAAAGCCGTTTACCAAAGAGAAACACAAAAGACTTGTAACCATAATCGAACATGGAAACCACAATGTAGTTGAAACCCCCTAAAAGTTCAAATTCATATTTAATTCATGAAATCATAGAAGATTGCGTAAAGTAGAGATGGCCCAAAAAGAACCTTAATCCCTCTGGGGTCATCAAGACACGAAATTAGTCTTTAATCTCTTGCAAATCTGGTTTGATGCTTTAGTTGCTTCATCTCCACGTCATCTATCTGAGCATATAAAACATCAGAAGCGATAGTTATTAGCTAACTTGCGTAGAAAGTTATCTCTGGCAAAAACAGAGTTGGTTTTGAAGCCGTCAGAAGAAGAGCGAAAATCAGAGTGTTTCGACTCTCGGGTCAACTGAAAATTCATGTGAAAAGGCTAAATTTCAGTTTCGTATATACAGTAAAATCTCTATAAATTAATAATGTTGGGACTGCAAAAATTTATTAATTTATAGAGTTATTAATTAATTGATAAATTAATAATTATTAATTTATCGAGAAATTAATATTTTATTAATTTATAGAGAGATATTTCGGTTCAAAATTCAAAATATTTGTAAAAAAACAAAAAAATATTGTCAACATTGAAAAATTTATTCAGAAAATATCATATCAGTGAATTTAAAAAATAAGTCAAACAATTTTTATAAACTTGAAACAATAATATAATTATATTTTACTACATTATATTATTTATATATGCTTAAATGTACACTTATTAATTTATATAATTATTGGAACTATATTTTTACATTGGAGTTTCAAAAAAAATATTATCTTATTATCTTATCGAAATTTATTAATTTTTACACTGGCCCGACTTGGGACCGACAAAAATTATTAATTTATAGTGATTATTAATTTATCGAGTATTAATTTATAGAGGTTCTACTGTATATGATCCAACTCTACTGATAAAAAAAAAAAAATTTATTGATTAAGCAAAAAAGAAAGTTACATAAATGCAAAAGGGTATTAATGCCAAATAGTAGGCAAAAAATACAAACTTTTCTAAATCGATCCCACGTATCCGAGAATCCTAGTGGTGATTTACTGTGTGAAAGCTTTTCTTTTTGTAAAACCTTCCAGATGTTACAATTTATAATGGAAAGTTTAGTACGTGGTTTTTTTGTTATACTATTAAAAACTTTTCTTTCAATCAGTTTGTTTTATACAAATTACCAAAAAATTATTATATTTTTTGTGCATGCAAATACATTTAAAATTGACTTTAGTAAGGATGACAAAGGAGAGTTAAACGTTAAATATGATATCCTCTTTTACTTTCAACTGTACAAGCGTCAGCCGTAACAGTAAGTGATGAAGATTATTAAAACCAAAAAAAAAAAACGATAAGTGATGAGGAAGCTTTTTAAAAATTTAATACGTTACTGTGATGATGATGTGTGACTACTCCGTCTCTCTCTCTCTCGTTATCAATAGATATTATGATGGTAGCAGTAGCAGTCCTTGATTCCAGTCCTTTTACACCGGTTATCGAAAAATAAAAATACTTTGAAATACAATTACTATAAATTTATAATATATTTTTGATTTTTGAACGTCAATTTACTCTAAACGTGATTTAGAGCTTAAATATGAACGTCGTTTCACTCAAATTATTATATTTGTATGGAAAATCAAAAGTTTTATTGGTAGTATATAATTAGTGTGTAATGTTTATAATGTATTGTATTAGTATACAATTAGGTATCGAGATTGGAGAGTGAGTGCACTTAATTAAAACCCTCTTCCTCCTAATAACGCACCGGCTAGAGTTAGAAAAGAAAGAAAAAAACACACCGATTAGAGTATATACCGAGACACGTAACCTACGAGAGTGTAAATCGATAGTTTTGTAAAGAACAATAGAGTTTAATTTAACCATTATAGCCATATATATAAGCCTTTTAATTCGATACTGCATCATAACAAACTCTATCTTTCTAATGAAAAAAAAAAAGAGTTGCAAATTCTAAAATCAATGTTATAATTGAAGAGTAGGTGTAGATAAATTAATATTCCATCCCCTCTTTATATAACACGTTGAATAAATTGATTACCAGTTTTGGTTTCTGTATTGCAAAAGCTAAAGCTTTCCGGAAGTGGAAATGCATGTTGACCAAAAAATGAGGGTTGGATATAAGGAAGGCAGTCTCGATTGTGTTTGAATGTATCATACAACAAACACACAGAAAAATCAGAGAAAATGAGTACAGTATCCAAAACTCTGAGCGGTGTAGCCAAAGCCACGGCTTCAAGGTCTAAAGGTCGAGCTCGTCCAATGGCGCCATCATCAAGCCCGTACTCTACTATGCCACCTTCAAAAGTCTCGGATCTTGAAGAGGAAGAAGAAGCAGAAGGTGATGATCTTGAAGATTTACTCAAGCCGAAGACGTACATTGCTTTCCCCAAGGGTTTTTCCGGTGGCGGCGGCTTTTGGCTCTACAAGGAGAAAGAGACCAACAATTTTACCGGCAGCAGTTCTTCCTATGGGCAGGGCCAAGGAACTAACGGACAAGGGGCCGAGAAACCAGATTATGGCGGTGGTTGCACCGGTTGTCATGGATGCAGTCGTTGCCCGGGATGTAACGGTTGTTGCCGTTTCCGCTCCTGATGTGTGGTTCCAAGTTCCAACTAATAAATGTAGTTTCTATGTAGTTTTAAAATGTGTTTGTGCTTTTTTCCTAGTTTTTAAAAAGATGTTTAGCCTGTGTTATTAATTACTATGTGTAATGCATCCAGTATCATTGTTTAACTAAGTTAACTAAATTTGAAAAAAAACTCTACCTAAAACCCATTTATTACTTCAAAAACTTTTTAATATGAATATGATTCAAACATAATTTTTAATCAAGTAATGAAACTGTTGTTTTAAAAAAAAAATCAAGTAATTTTAACTGATACCCAATGAATTTTTTCACAGCTGTGAATAAGTGAATTGTATAAGCAGATTCGGCATTAGTTATTAAAATTTACGTAGTAATATTGTTTAATTAAAGGTAATTTGAGTTGCGAGCGATTAAAAATGTGAAACTTAACCCAAAATTGAAAATTCACATTGATTAACTCAAAATTTTGTAATCAAGTAATTTAATCAGAATCTACAAAAGCCGAACAATACAGTATAATTCAAATCTTAAAATGGGCCTTAATGAAAACGGATCCATTAAATATAGGAGTAACTAAAACGCGTGCAATTTTAATGATGTATTTGGTTGTTGTGCGTAAAACAAAATCAAAGTAAGGAACACAAAATTAATCACCATCTTATTAAATTAATTAATACCACCGTAACATGGGAGAAAGGGAAATTGATACGAAAGGTTCCATTTTTGGGATTTCGCATCTCGAGATCATTTAAGGAAATGGAAGAGAAAACACAAAAGTTTTTTGGAAATTTTCCAAAGAGACCTAATCGAATAAGAGAGAAGAGCAATTAGGGTTCTTTGGGACAAGAGAAAGAAGAAAGACAAAATGTCTCTGTTTTTCAGCCGAATCTCGAAGGTCTCTGTAAGATATACACTCATCCTCCCATATCATGTACTTCCTTTGATTCTTCGTTACTCAGTCCTATTTTTGTCCACGGAAATTGGCAGACACGGAGGGACAATGCACGTTTCTTCTCATCATTGATGCCTCAGTCCCCATGTTTGCTTCTGGACTGTAAGAAGGTGCGCGAGTCTCCGGAAGGAAAATTCGTCAAGTACAGCTTATTCGATCCGACAACGGAAAAGAAAGTGTTTAGCAGTGAGAAGACAATGCCCAAGGAGCTCCTAGGGCGACCTCTCGTGGGAGCATCGCAAGGTTGGGTCGCTTCTCTGGAGAACAAATACGATACCGTGCATCTCACGGATCTGTACAAGCCATGTGTCTCATCTCCAAGAGTCATATCATTGCCTCCAATAGGGTTTAAACCCTCAGTATATGCCACGGAAGTGTCTCTCTCTTCTTCTGATCCTGTCCAAGACGACTTTTCTGTGGCTGCAAAGTTCAATGAGTATCACATAAGTGTATGCAATCCTCGTACGGACTCAGAGTGGACTCACGTCGAGACTCCTTACTCTCTTTTACCAGCCTCTGAGCTTATGTATTCCAAGAGAGATAAAGTCTTCTACTTTACCAGTTTCAAGGGTCTCTACATGGCTTCACTGGATCTCAGCAACAACAAAGATCTCAAGTATAAAGACATACGCCTACGGAACCAGCCTAAGATCCCAGAGGCAGGCTGGGAGATGCTGGACAAATGTTTCATGAGCAAGCACTTAGTGGAATCTCCATCTGGTGAACTTTTCTTCATCAAGTGGTTAGTATTTCGAATCTCTTTAAGACGTTATCTACTCTTTACCAGTCCAGGTATAGTGTAGAGAATTTGACCTGTTTGTTTCTCTCTAGGTACACACAGTGCATTCACAAAGAGGACAAAGATGGGAGTTTGGAATTTATCCACAGCGATACTAAGCGGTTCATGGTCTTTAGGCAAGATGGGATGAGCAAAGACTTTTGTTACACTGAAGATATTGGAGATCTATGCATCTTCCTTAGCAAGAGTGAAGCCTTCTGTCTCTCGTCAAGTATGTACGAGGGGCTCAAACCTAACTCCATCTATTACGTTGGTCCTAGACTTGGTTCTTACGATCTAGCTTCTGGTACGAACAATCCCTTCACATTCGATCGCTTTGGTGAACCATCGCTTGTCAGTGCCCCATTTTGGCTTTATCCGACCAATTCCATTGCTTAACAATGCTCCTTTCAATCTCTTATTCGAGCTCTAGCTTTGATTAGGGATTATTTAGTTCAATAATTGGCCGTCTTGCCACTTTTGTGTTGTGTGTTGTGTTCTCCATCACCAAGTGGTGGTCGTCATGACACTTGTTAGGTCTGCTTTGAGCTTTTGTGTCTTCTATTGTTCTTCACCAAATGGTAATCATGCCACTTGTTAGGTTTAGGGTTTGCGTACGTAATTAAAGATTTTAATTTATAGGACAAAAAATCTTAGTAAAGTAACACAAGTCACAAGGTTCATAAATCCCTTATCTTTTCTTTTTTAACCACATTATCATAATCACATATCTACATATATAATATATGTTTTATCATGAAACTCAATTCTCTTCTAGATGTAAAGAAGAAATAAGATATTTGATCGAAATAGCATCACACTCATGCTGACTGTTACCAGACCACAAGCACAAACGTAAAGTTCACCTCAGTTTTCTACATATTTACTTATTTAACCGTTGTGGAACAGAAAGCATTTTCACCTTCTAGTCCCATTACTTAAACGATACATTAATTTCACAGACGATACATACCGCATAATAATTTATTTGTTTACATCTTCACCACATAATTTTTTGGTACTACATATACTGTACATCCTTTCGTTATAGATGACATCATGAGAGTATTTAGACTTTGAAAAATCAAAAAATGTACTAATAAAACATTTCATGTTCTTAAATAATAAACAAAGATGTCAAATCTTACTAATAAAAACAAAACTTTTCAAATCCATTTATCATATCCCATATTCGTATTGACGATTTGCCTATTAGAACTTTTTCTTTTCCAATGTCAACGTCCGAAAATATTAATGGAAAGTGAGAAATTAAATTTTTTAATAATATCATATCATTTGTGCATTGCAAAGAAATTTAATTGATATTTAGTAATGATGACCAATGCACAAATGATATGATATTATTAAAATTTGTAATTTCTCACTTTCCATTAATACAATGTACATTTTCATTCGATATTCTCTTCTTCTTCTTTTTTTGATCAAAAATTCGATATTCTCTTAAACTTGTATTTACATCACAACTGTACAAGTGTCAGTCGTAGTTGGATGTGTAAGTGGTGATGAGTCCTTCTTCTAATTTCTTAACGCTTCTATCATGATTACGTAGCAGTAGTAGACTACCAGTCTTTTTGATTCGGGTCTTTATTACAGCTGATAATATAAAAATCAAAATACTTTAAAATACAGTTAATATATAACTCGACGATTTTAAAATACGGTCAATGCAAGTTCCGCACCCTCATAAAATTTGTTGAAAAGAATATCACAAAATTATATTAATAGAGTTTCAAAGTTTTATTGATAGTGTGTAATCTATATGTACGTAGAGACATATAGAGAATACACAATCGGGTTTGGAGAGTGGCTGTGGTGTTATTATATAAAAGACCTTTCCCTATGACATGCCACATTGATCAGACTGTATCGATAATTTTTTTTTTCATCAAACAAAAATCTAGTTTAACCATTATACCATCAAACTTGTATAAAGTTCAATATTATAAACTTTTTATTTTCGAATTCTTATATGGCATTTCCCTATTTTATTTATGTCAAAGCAATGTCGACTAAATTGAACTTAATTTCATTAAATTTATATATTGTTCTAAACCAATATCACACGATGTTATATTTATGGAATTACAAGTTATACTGGTAGTGTGTACTTCATGCGGATGTAGAGTATCCTATTTGGTTTGGAGAGTGGGTGTGTATATACAAATTTACTTAATACCGCATCCATCCACTATATATTATTAGAGAAGTAACATTATTGAAAATAGCTGATTTATCAACACTAGAGCCAAAGTTAGTACTTTTAATTGATGACATGTAAATGTGACATGTCAAACTTTCTAAAATAAACGAAATGTTTTGATTGGTTGAATTAAAATTATAGAAATTGTGGAATTAAAACATAAATAAACTAGATTATATTTATAACACTAAAATTAACAAATTTAAATTAACAGAAAATAAAAGTTATTATAATTTCAATTTTGTACATATATTCATAATTTCATAAAATATAATTACAAAATTTTTTCAATAATATATATATATATTATAATTTCATATAAAACGAAAAAATAATACTAAATTATCCAATAGAATAATAAAAATTCTATTTATTAATAATACTTGAAGTATAATATATTTTTATTTCGGAAAGTTATTAATTTACAAAATATATTCATAACATCTAAACAAGTTTTAAATAAAAAAATTATTGAATAATACAATTTTAAATAAAATACAATCATGATAAAATAATTAAAAGAATAAAATGTTAAAAATAATAAAAATAATCAACTTTTATTGATTTTTTTTTAAAAAAACGTAATTTTAAATAATTTTTCTTTTCAAACCAATATTTACTAAATGAATAAAATATATACTAATTATTATTTTATAATATTAATAAGATCATATATTTTTCTATAACTTTTATCATCTTTTTATTGTTGTTTTCTAAAATGTACATAACTTATGTTACCATCTCATCTTATCTCTTATCATATTTTAAATAAATTTTTTTTTTATATCATATGTATATATATATACATAAATTTATTTTCATTGTATATCAAAATTTTGAAAACATAAATAAAATAAAAAATAACCGAACGAAAGAATAAATTATAATAAGATGAAACAATATGAATTAGAAATAAAAATATAAGTATGAAAAAATAAATTTCTCGCACTTTGTTTTACAAAGTCACTTAAAAACTTTTTTAACACCTAAGAACCATATTTCATTTTTTTTACAAATACGCATACAAACATAAATATTAATTGTACATTAGTTGAAGTCACATGCGAAATTTTCCGTGCATGTATTTTGTTAAGATTGATTAGAGACTAACTTTTATTTTAATTATTATACAATTTATATTTTTTAAAAAATATTTATCTATTCTAAGTGTAGGGAAGTGGTTGGTATGTCTGCACATGCGTGCCAACCATCTATCCGCTCTTAAGAATAAGTAAAAATGGTAAAAACTGTTTCAGTTTAATTTGCAATAAATCAAAAAAAATATATACTTAAAATATATTATATATATTTGTAAATTCATATTATGTAAGACGCAAAAAGCATATTGTAGATTGTGTAAGGAGAAATAAAGCATATTATAAAAAATATTCAAAAAATATTATAAAAATTTAATTATTATTTAACATAAATTTTATATTTGTAATTATATATTATTATAAGCATTATAAAAATAAAGTTTTTAAAATACATTGGTTTCAGAAAGAAGTTTGTGAAATATTAAAACAATATATATACAAACATACCAATGTTTAAAAAAACTAATTAATATTTAAATATTACAATTAACTATGTATATAAAAAAAATTATATCCGTACATATGTGCGGACAACCACCTAGTATGAGTCAACTTAACGGAGACTTGCTATTTTAGTTTCTATCTTCTAAAAAGCCGAAGCATTCCCGCAGAAGAAGCGAGTGTTAATGCAAAAACCAGAGTTCAATAAAAGGCTCGCGACTCTATCTATGAAATTAACAAAGAGAATAAATAGAGAAAACGAAGAAGAAAAATGAGAAGAGTGCCAAAATCTTTGAATGTTGTAGCCAAGGCCACGATTTCAAGGGCTCGTACCGCAGCATCAAACCCGTACTCCACCATGCCTCCACTAAAAAAAACAGATCATGAAGAAGATGAAGAAGAGGTCGAGCATGAGCTCATTCCTTTCCCCGACCACATTGCAGGCGGCCTTGCGATTGAGAAGAAGAAGAATAAGAAGAAGACTGAAACATCAAATATCACGATACCCTCTCTCTAACTTTCTCCTCTCTCTAAAGGCGAAAAAGTGACCAGCTTTTTTTCCCATCTCCGACGTCTCGCACGGCGTCGGAACCCTCTCCCCATTTCTGACCAAGACCCTCCCCTCCTCATGGGGAAGAAAAAGAAACCCAAAAACTCCTCGTCGCCCAGATCCCCTTCCGGATCTGCCACCTCAATCTCATCTTCCTTGAAACTGACAGCGTCTGATGCTTTCATCCCAGCCGCAACTGCTTCTGCCTCTTCTGGACCTAAAAATTTACCTGTGATTTCTCAATCCAAAGCTAAATTAACAGCTTCAGAAGCTCAGTCTCCCGCGACCCCTCTCGCGGCGATTAGGGAATCTGGTGAAATTGGAAACCCTAACTCCAAACTTCATCAAGTCGTTGCAGCATCTTCACCAAATCAAGTTGAACACTTGGTGGACATCGCGAATCAGAGTAGCCACACGACTCTTCCTGTGGATGCTGCTCCACCAGGGATGTCAAATCCCCAAAAAAGTGACCCATCCTTCCAATGACGTGACCTGGTGAAAGGGAACTCTGTCAATCTCAAACCAGAGGGCACTCCCTTTGTTCTGGATTCAGGTGAAGCTTGTGTAAAAATCCCAAACTCAGTTATCGAGAAGAATAAAAAATCATGGGATAGCTTCATTCTTGGACAATTTTACGAAGATCCTCCGCCTCGTGGGACTGTCCACGCAATCGTAAATGGCATTTGGAGCCGCCAAAGGCGATACATCTCTGTCTCAAAAATGGACGGGCATGCCTTCCTCTTCCGTGTTCCCTGCCCTATTGTTAGACGCAGAATTCTCAGTCAATGCCTGTGGCAAGTTGATGGCCAGACTATGTTCATTGCAAAATGGTCTCCTGGCCTTAAACCCGACAAGCCTGAGCTCTCTAGGGTCCCTGTATGGCTGGAATTCACTGATGTCCCCCTTCAGTTCTTTAACCCTGATGGGTTGAAGGAAATCGCTGGGCTAGTGGGATATCTTATCTGTCTTCATCCATCAACGGAAAAAATGACGAACATTGAAGTAGCTAAGGTCTACACTGTAATTGATCCAAGAAAACCTCTTCCAGAAGGTGTAAACGCCCAATTTGAATCAGGTGAAATATGCAGAA